GTGTAGATCCATTTTTTTCCACGTTTCTTAGAGAACATTATGTAAATATTCTCTTTTTTCTTAGAAGATCATTTCACGATAGTCACAAGAGTTTTTCACAAATCACCTAGTGTTAAATATGTAGATCCATTTGTTTTCCACATTTCTTAGAAAACAATACCATATAAATATTCTCTCTTTTTAGACGATCACTCTCTCTCTCGACGACTCTTCTAGGTTTGAGTCTGATTTCTGAGTTGTTTCTCGCTAATTTACGTTAATTATTATTTTTCTGTTATCTATCACAACACCGTGACACACAGTAGCGTTTGCGCTTCTGTTCTTTATTCACATAAGTAGTGGCATGCTACAATTTGCTATTGCGAATGCTTTTGCGAAGCCATTCGATCAATGCGGACGATACGGAGTCTGAGCTGGCCGCGATACCTGAGAGCCCAAAATCTGACAGCACCTTGCATGGTAGCAGCGGAGGATCTCTCGGCGAGCTAGAGGACACAGTTTTCAAACACACGCTGCACGAGCCGCGTATGTCGATCACGGACGGGACCACGGGCGCGACCGAGCCGAACAATCGGAACGCCGTCGTCAGCAGAGCGCGAGCTGGATCCGTCACGAAGCCTATGTGGTTCATAGGAAACGAGGACGAAGCTTATCAGGTTGGATTTCTTTTTTTCTCGCAAAAAAGAAATAAATGAAGAGTATGTCGACTTCGAAGAATGCCATGATGTCAATGATTTGTGTATATATATCCAGGGAAACAAATCCGGTCCGTCGAAGAAATGGGGCGTTTACGAGGGAATGAAGATGATGGTAACGGGCACGTTTATGACCGGACAAGAACCACCGAAGCCTCAGTCAAAAATATCCGCGCCAACGGCGAAAAACGGCAAGAGACAATTGCCGTACAACGGGGACAACGTTACGAAGTCGTTCGATTTGTCCGGCGCGTTTGCCGTCGCCACGAGTATTTCTCACATTCAAAGGTAAACTATAGATCTTAGAAAATCGAGCGAACGAGTCCCGTTTTTTTTTTTTTTTTTTATAAACCGCGCGGTGAGATGTTATCGCGACCGAATATGCAAAATTTTCCAGGCCCGAATATCCGAAGGAAAAGGGAAAGGAGAAGGAGAAGGAAAAGGAGAAGAAAAAAGAGAAGGAAACGGAAAGGGAGAAAGAAAAAGAGAAGGAAATTGAGAAGGAGAAGGAAAAAGCGTTTGCGAAGACCGCGGACACCGTCAACAACAACGAATCGACTAACGCGAAGCACTTGGGCAGACAGAAATACGTGGAGCAAATCACGATTACGGCGACGTCGCCGGTTTCGCCGTGCCAAGTGATCTCGGTGACGAACAGCGATCACTCGAGTTCGCCGGCGTTGAGTTCTTCCATATCGTCGCAGATTATCAGCACAGAAAACGGACAACAAAGTGCCATACCGCAGCCTTTGATGACCACCCCGACGGTCGAACGATTGCTACCTATTGGTACAATGATTCGCGCAACTGGTGAGCCTTTTGTGTCACATGTTGTTTAACATATTACGTTAATACGAAAGAAATTATTTATTAGATTTTTTTTGATTGTAAATTTTAATAATATACAATTTATAACAATAATAATTTATTTAAATATAATTTATTGTTATTTTTTTAAATAATTCTCGCAGGATCGCGAGCCGCGCAACGCGTATTGAGATGCGAGGACGCGTACGGATCTCCGGAATCACCGTTATCCAAAATGGACGTTTTGACAGTCAGTGAGTACACTTTTAAACTAACGAAATGAAAATAGCAAGTAACAACAACAAGGTCTAACTATGAGAAAAAAAAGGTGATCCAAGAGATAGTCCAGATCGGTCGTATTATTTCGCAGGCTCCTCGTTCGAGCAAGACAGCGAGACTTGCATGTCCAGCGACATCACGAGTCCGCACAGCATCTCCCAATTGGAATTTCCGACACCCGAACGACTGCTGCCGGTTGGTCCTCAGAGAGATTTTTCCAGCCTGGTCGACCGAGTGTGTCAGGCTCTCGATATTACGGACGTTGAAGGTTCGAGCGCATCAATAAGTCTGTTTTAATTTTATACAGTAGCGAAACGCTGCCATTGTTTAATTTACATGTTTTTTTTAATACAATTTTTTATACTCCTCTGTTTAGCCATAAGTAAATCGAGTGACAATGTAAAACCCGACACTCACGAGACGGTGCTGACGAAACAAGACAGCGGAGCGTCGGACAATATGGTAAGACTATCTCTATTTAGTTCCGATAGAAATTTTTGTCTCATAAAAAAAAATAAAATAAAAATTATGAAATAAAAATTAATTAACGAGAAAACATCAGAGCACCGACGGAATAATAGCGGAAAAGAAATTTCGATTTATTTGAGCAATTTATCGCGACTGTGTTCGCAGTCGGCGTCGCTCGTGCCGACGTGCAACGAGGTCAACTCGAGCAGATCGCCGAGTCCGCGAAGATTAATCAAACAAGTGGCACTGGAATCGTCTCCGCCGGCGGTCGAGACCGGGGACTTCGCGTCGAAGGTGACGGATTACGAGCAGAAGATAAAATCGCGGGAACAGTTTCGCATTCAGCGGGACAGGGGACGAAAGACCCTCACCGCGACGACGGATCAGAACGCGATCACCCACGCGAGACGTACGGAGTCCTGGTACGCACTTCGATCGTGTGTAATTTTTAAAAATACACATTGCTAAAAATCGTTCATTGCGTTTTGTATGGCACTTATGAAAATTTAATTACGTTTAAATCCGCTTTGTGTTTAATTTGCCATATTTATTTGCCCAATCTCTGATAGGTCCGGTGCGCAGGTTGAACAAAATTCAGCCTACGTCTCACAACAAGCATGTCACGCAGATTTCAATTTAAAACACAGTTTATTTCGCATCGGCAACGATTGCGTTTATGATAGGTATAATTTGCTTGTGTCTCTTAGATGTGTGTTATAAATAATAATTAATTGTCGTTTGTCATCTGTGCCACGTGATAAATCTCGAATCTCTCTCGGTTTTCGCGACACAGGTGCTCGGAATGCGGAACGATCAAGGAGGAATATTCCGACGAGGAGCTCGGATTGTGCATAATTACTCTGGGAACGTTTATTCATCGAGAACCGTCTCTGGCGGCGCCGTTGCTGCCCGAAATACTCAGCATCGTCACCAAGTAAGATCAAAGTATTTTATATATAGCTTTTTTTTTATTTACATATTAGCTTATCTGAAAAGTTTTAATTTTACTTCCTTCACTCGCCACTATGCTGAGATAATATTCAATATTCGATCGTTTCTCGTGAAAAATTATTTAATATTATATATAAACATATTATATGTATAAATATATTATATATATGTATATGTACGCTCTAATGTTAATTATCACAGGGTGGCGCTTAATGCAATGTATCCTTGGCAAAGTGAAACGAATATACATTTGCCGGGGGGTGCGATCAGCGTGGCTCATCAGTTTCTCAGATGCGTTCTTCATCAATTAGCGCCTAATGGAATCTTCACGCAAATGTTTCAGACTCATCTGAACGGTAAGAATGTGCGGCAACGACTCTTCACGGGATCACGGGTTTTTATCCCGTGAAATTGTTTCAAGTAACGTTTCGAATTGTTTCGCTTGCAGAATCGACAAGATTGCAGTTCTTCAAAAGCGTGGCGCAAGCATTGGTCGATTTCAACGAGTTGAATCCCATCGCGCCCTTGCAACTGCTGCTCGAGGTAAGAGAATTCACACCGTGTCGCTTTGCGCAAAACATATTTTTCACAAAAGAGAGAGAGAGAGAGAGAGAGAAAACTTTGCGGTCTCGTCGCGAATTAAATTTCAGACATTAAACATGAAGAAATCGTTGCCGCTGGAACGGTTGCCGATAATATTGTACAATATCGCGTGCTATTTGGACTGTTTGCCGTTGGAAGCGGGACTGGGACCCGGTTCGGTTACGTGGAGCGCGCTGCTAACGCAATTCGACGGTCTGTTTCGAAGACTCGTCCTGATTCTTCCCTCAATCGAAGACATCAATCCTCTTCTGCGAATTATGGTGTCCCTGTTGAAGGTGCCAGGGATTCAGCAAGCGAAGGTACTCTCGAAAATTGTCGACACAGATTGCGCTTATTCTTCCGGATGGATAATAAAATGATCACGCACGCTTTTGCGCGGAAAATGTATCGGAAATCATTGCTTCAAGATCGAACGATTGTTGTTTCTAGGGAATGCTGGATCCGTTTTCCAAAATCCTGAGCTACGCCATACAAAACTCGACGCTGCAGTACCATTATCTGACGGATCTGTGCTACCTGTGTCACAGGGGATTTATTCGCGATCGCGACAAACACTTTTTCGGGAGAACGATCGTGTTCGAATTGATACAGGCCATCAAGTTCAAAACGACGATACCGGATTCGAATTTTCTGCTGCTTCTTCAATTCGTATTACAAGTACAAATCTCCGATCACGATTATTCGTATAAATTTATTTGCGCGCGATAGCGCGTGAATATATATGTTTCTTGAAACGTGTGTAAAAAAAAACTCTTATTGCATGCAACGCAGGACATCGGGGGATCTCTGCCGAACACTCTCATCGCGATGGATGGCAACATTCAAACGGACGTGTCGCCGATTTACAACACGAACGCTTCCGAATCGCTTAAGAATCAATTGTCGGACGTTCTCGACTTTTTAGGCGACTTTCACACCCTGAGCAAGATCAAGGTAAGGTAATCGACGAACAACGAGAAGAGAAATAAGAAGAATTCGCGAGATTGTTTTTGGTTTTTTTTTTTTTTTTAGAGTTACAGCAAAGGTATGCAAGCGGGTTTGAACGAGGACACGATAGGCGGAACGTTGAAATGCGGTCTTGCTCAATACGTGGCTTTGGAGATCACGAGGGGTAACAATCGGGAGAATCGAGCGGTCGCTCGTTATTTGCCGTGGTTGTACATAGCGCCGACTATACAGCAAGGGTAAGTTTTAAATGATTACGCGGAAATCAACGAGGCATTCACAGCTTTTTGTCAACGGTTTCCAGTGCTCGCGAATACGTCGACTGCATCGGCCACATCAGGCTGTTGTCCTGGCTGTTGCTCGGCTCGCTCACTCACATAGCGATGTACGCCGGCAACAACAACAACAATCACGCGCACTCGACGATACAGCTTGCGCAACCGATACCCCAGGAGGTGTCCTGCCACATAGCCGATCACATACAGATCATCTTCTCGGGATTTCCGGAACAATCCAAGACCTCGGTTCTGCACATGTCGTCGCTGTTCTACGCGTTCATCCTCTGTCAAGTATTTATTTTCGATTTTTCCATTACAAAGAATCGCGCAAACAAATGTTCGCACATGTTGGCGATTCAATTGCGTCATTTCGGATTTTACAACAATAACAATACTTGTGTGTGTTCTCTCCGATTCAGCTCTGGACAATGTATCTGGAGGAACTGTCGAAGAACAACGCAACCAACAGTGAAAGTCACAACGTCACCTTGAACATCTTGTTAGAATTTTGGAGCAAGATAACGCCGTGCATCTTGCAACTCGTTTCCTATTCGAAAGCCGTAAGTTGCGTCCTCGATGCGTCGCCGTTTTTCGCTCGGAATTCTCGTTTCACGCAAATTTATCATTACGCTTTTTTGTTTTTGAGACGGGTTTTAGAAACAAAATAAAAAAAATAAATAAATAAAAATGTGTGAAAAAATGTATCTCTTGATTGTTCCACAGCTGTCCGAAATGCTCAACTTGCATTTCCTGAGTTTATTGGAGGCCTTGCTGGAATGCGGATCAATCGTATTGAACAAATTATTGCCTTTGTGGAACGCCATTTTGTTTTCCCATCACGTTCAGGTAAAACCGTAAAAAAAACTTGAAATATGAAAAGATGCTGATGATGATTGAACATCAATTATATTTAATAATATTGTTAATTGATTTCCCGGATTTTAGCTACCGGGACACTTACAAGTGCGCTTGCAAAATTGTCGGGATTTTCCACCGAGCAGAATGGCGGAGAATTTTGTTTCCAATCGAAGAGAATCGAACGCGATACTTTTGCGATGGTTGCATCGATTGCAGTTCAAAATGGGCCAGATAGAAATGCAATCTTCTAACGCCACGCAATTCTATTCCATATAAAAGAGGAAGGAGAGGAATTTAAAAAAAAAAAAAAAATTACACGAGCTTGATAATAAATTATACATGACTTCCTAATTGGCCCCAAAGCGGTGCGAAGACCAGATCAAATAAAATAGTTTGTTACGCGTGAGAAAAATATTGAAATATATATATATATATATATATATGTATATATATATACATATAGTTCGTTGTAAACTATTACCGTTGTAAAAATAAGTTGTTATATTTAGAGATATTGTTGATCTATATATATTATTTTTAAAGTAAAAGAAACAAAAATAAATACAAGCAAGAGTGTTGTGTAATGAAGAATTAGAATTTTTTAGATCGAGACCGAAACACGCAGGCAAAATGAAATCAACGGCCGGGCCGTTAAATAAATATATATATATATATATGTATAGGATGCATGAGCATGTGTGTTATTAAATTAGGAGCAATTACTTATGTATATACATATATACGTAATGTAAGATAAACGTAAAGGTAATTATATTGTAAGAAAAAATAAAAAGATGTGTATTTCTATAATAAATATATATATTTTTCATAATTAATTTACATTTAGTATTTGTATTTCATGCACACACACACAAGACTTTATCGAAGAAAACACTAATTTTTTTTATTGTTATCGTTTCACGGATACAAAAAAAAAAAAGAAGAAGAAGTTAGATGAAACTTCACAAAATCGCTAATTTTTTTTGTTTTTTTGGGTTTTTTTTGGTTTTTAATTAATTAAGTGAAAATGAGAGGTGCCTTGAAGAAAACATCCATATCGATCTATGGTGATTCACATATCTGCAATAAGTTCAAGTGCTGTGTTAATTACAAAAGAATTGTTACTATTGACGATTGTCAGAGAAATTTCAATTAATTTAACGCTTCTCGAAACTTGAGGAAACAGTTTCGACGTTTCACACTGTCGTTGTCGTCGTCGTTGTCATCGGACCTTTCGGTTTGATCATCATCATCGCGCGTTTTAGGGTGTAATCCCAGCCTCTCCAGCGGAACCACACGATACCTTTTTTTTTTTTTTCAACAATACAATTCTCATTCGTTAAATGTAAATTGCACGAGTATTTTAACCCATTTGCATTATAAGCGCATATATGCGCGCATTTTACTTAGGCATTTATCACTAAAGCGCATATTATTTATACCAGAAAAATACCAAAATTCTTTATTTATGCAAGATTGATTTTATTTTTCATATTTTGTAACATTTTCATAAAAATTTAAATACAGTAAAAAAAAATTTTGGTGATAAGAACGAATTTTTGACTTTTCTTTGTGATGCAAATGGGTTAAATATTTCTAACTTTTGTCTACTCACGTGAGTTGACAGCAGAACATTTTTTTTTTTTTTTTTTAATTTACATTTCGATTTACAACTTGTCGTCAACATACCTTGCCGCGCGGTGAGATCCTGCGGATCGTTCAAGTAAAGACCGTTCAGACCGCGTCCGCACGATTTCCACCACCAGCCACCTTTGAGCATCGAGGCGCAGTTCAAAGACGATCTGTCGTTGTCCCTGTGAAGTGAAATCGCAGATATCGTTTGATTTCTGACACAATCGTGTGTGACGCGTTTGTTACGCGATTACGTCAGAAGGTACGGCAAAGTGGATTTCAATATGAGAACGCGCAAACAGATGCTCAATTGATGGGAATTATCTCACCTGTTGTACGTGGAAAATGGACTATTGTTCGATCCGTACCAAGGATCGTTCAAAGAATCTCCGGCGTTTCCTTCGTAACCGTCTATTTCCAATTTGTAATATTCTCCCTCGGAATAGATTTTGAAGTGCGAATACTGAGCGTATCTAAAAAGATAATGAAAACGATTCGTTGCAATCGTAATTCGTTCCGTTCGAAATTTACGAAACGCGAACGTAAATTCTCAAAAAGTGAATAAAACCGCGACTTATTTTATTACGTTTTATCTCTATAAGATAAACGTGAAGTTAAACAATAAAAAAAAACACATTAATCTACAGTTTATGCGTATACCTTTTGTTACCTTCGAAGTCTTCAAGTTCAACCCTCAGCATGTAGTCTTCGTTGTTCGTTAACATGTATATGTTTTCGTTGCCCAACCAGAACTCTTTCGCGGGATCGCCGAATCCGTTTTTGTAATCCGCCCAGTCTCTGTTGAAGTTCTCCCTTGGATCTCCGAAATCGTCCCTCCTCTGAATAATCTTTAAACAGAAATTCTCGTTCGATTTGTACAAAATCCCGTGAAAAAAAAGAGCAAATCGGCGCGCGAATGTGCCGATAAAAAAAAAAAAAAAAACTCACCGTCCAGCCACCGTCGGCGATTTCCTGTTCGCAGTAGACCTTGAGGAACCAGTAGGTGGTGCCGCGTATTTGCAGATAATACACGCCGCTGTCCCTCATCCCCGCGTTCAATAAATCCACGCAGGAGTAACCCTGCAAATATCAACGGTGTGTTTCGAGGATAAATAAATACATAAAAAAAAACAAAAAAAAAAGACAAATTTATGCGAACGTGTCGGACTCTGACAACGACGATCCCGTGACGACACTCTTTTGTTCGCGCGCTTCGCACCAACAGGTGATATTACGCGTGAGTAAAAGGAGAGCGCGAAGGATCAAAATACCTTGACATCCTTATAGTTGAGTAATATGTCGCTGGTAAAGGTGGAATTCGCTAAACTCGGTTTATTCTTGACGCTCGGGAATATGACGCCGCGATTTCTGTTGCTGGAACGAGAGGTGGTGCTCGAAGACGTCGCCGTCATGGGTGTCGTCGAGACGGTGGGATTGTTGTTTGAGGGCGACGCGACGGACGACATTGACGTTGTGGTCGACAGGGGTGGTGCGGCGGTGGGCAGCGTCGTGGACGTCGTGGGTATTTCCGTTACGAAGTCTTCGGTTATACTGACGTACCTTAAAGCAAACGACGCGAGAATCGCGCGCGCTCGTACATATTACATTTCTTCTTCGACTTTATTGATTATTTTTCAATCTTATTGACTTTATTTTCAATCGGTAATCTATTTCTTCGATCGAATAATCTGTTAAATGTTACGTCGATTTGTATTATTTTACGTTCTCGTTGTTTGCGTTGCGAAAAATGCTCGCACTTTGTCGGATTAAATTAAACTTACCTGGTCGGATCGTACTCAACGAGCCGATCGATCGTCGGATCTAATAACAGCTCGGCCGGAATCGGTCGTTGCGCGAGCGTGGCCACGTCATCCTCCTGTTTCCTCAATCGGCTTTCGACACCCTCCAGATTCTCGATGATCTTGTTCGTTTTGGATCGCAAATCCGCGTGAATTTCGCTGATCGCCCGTTCCTGCCTCTGCGTCTGAGTGAGCAATTCGTCGGATTTCGGCAACAAGTCGTCCACCGAGCTCTTGGTCCCTATCTAATCCAAGAGATCGGCGTTATCGTTACCGCGCGTTCGAAGATGATCGAAATTCGACTTGTGTGTGTTTAAGTTTAAAAAAAACAAACAAACAAACAAACAAACTCACCACCACGTTCCAAACTTGATCCATCTTCTCGGAAACGGTCAGCATCGGATACATTTGCTCGACTAGACGATCGATCTTGCCCTGCTTACTCGTCGTAGTCGGGGCCTCGGTCGTCGTAAGATTCAAACGATTGTTTCGCTTCTCGTTCCCGTGATTCTTCTCGACTATGGCCTCGTGCACGTCGCTGATCATATTGTAAACCGACCCGAGATTGTCCGACACCACGTTCATGTGAAACTGCAACTTCCGATCCATATTGCCGGTCGCCTGTCTGAGATTCTCGATCTCGATCGACATGTGGTTCATCACCTCGTTGCTCATCGCCTTCGTGATCTCGATCACGCTCATGCTGACCGGTTTCTTCTCGCTCGCCTCCGCGTTTATGTCGTCGTTTTGCAGAAAATTGTTGTCGAGCTGATTCTTGAGATTGACCAGTTTGTTATCGATATCGGACACCTTCTGATCCAGGGAGAGCAATTTCTCGCCGAGGGTTTCCGGAGTGCGATCGTTGTCCCTATCGGAGTGGATCACGCGAAGCAACGGGACTGCAACATAATCGAAATGTGAATATATCAAATGTGCGTGCGTACGTGCGCGCGTGCAATTAAACACGATCGTGTTTTTTACGCACGTCACTGGCGGTGAAAGAAGTCCGAGAAAACCGGTAACAACGAAAAAGTACAACTACCCGAAGCGGTCAAACCTGTCGAAACGAATTTTGTCGGCGAAAAACACGCCGGTATATATGTAAATCTAACACGATCTCTTGGGGCAAAACACGAGCGGCAGATTGGCGGCAGAAGCCGAGCACGATTCTGCCGCTTTCGTAACGCGCTTTTCAAGCACATTTAAATGAAGTATACGACAGGTCTCTCTCTCTTTCCTCTTTCCCGATTTCTCGGTTTCAATTTGCTTGTCAAGTTACGTCGGCAGCAGAGAAACAGGATCGATTAAAACCCACAGGCGAAATCTCTAATGCCCGCGAATTTGTCGCGAGTGAATCTCTCTCGCGTCGAGATTTGCCGCCGCTGACATTTCGCACGCACCTGTAGCTACCTGCGGAGGTTTTCGCAAAACTAACTACACGCGTATACTTACTGTCCTCGGCGTGGCTTCCGCTTCTGTTTTCGGTGATTCTGGCCGCGTGAAAGGCCTCCGCTGACATAATGGGAGGATACGAATTGAACAGTTTCAGATCTAACGTTCTGAGTTTGGTAATGACCGCGTCCGTTTTGTCAATGTTGTCGTTAACGCGCGAATCCAACGCCTCCACCCTTCTCATCAGATGTTCAACCGCTTTATCTAGATTCTCGATTCGCTGCAACTTGGACTCCAAGGTCGATACTATCACCTCGAACACGTTGAAGAGATATTGCTCCCTACAACAAATGAATCGTCGTTTTTAATCCCTTCGTCTTTATTTAATTATCAAATTCTAAACAAGTATCGTTCGTTTTCATCGATAATCCGATGGGAAACCGTTGTTAAACAAATATTTCTTGTCGTTCTAAATAACTTACTCGTCTAAAATTATAATTTTGCCGGTCGTATCACAACTGTTCTAATTGACTCTCCGAATCTCGAAATATGTAAAACTCTTTTAACCGTCATTAACGTAAAAAAAAAAAAAAATAAAATCGTGATATATAAATAACGTAAAAAAAAAAAAAAAAAAAAAAATTAGCGCGATATATAAATATATTCGTGCAAATTAAGTGGGGAAAGTTCGGTAAGCGGGGTATCGGCACAACCTTTTGGAGTATGATCGACTGGTTTACGTAATGAGCGTTTAACTGTTCGGTTCTCCCGTCTCCGAACACGTTGATTTTTCGCGTGAAACGAATCATCGCGCGAAGGGTGATATAACACACACACACTCGCGCGGAAAGCATCGTCGATTAGACGAGTATAATGCAAAATCTCATTCTCTCTCTCTCTCTCTTTCTCGCGAAAAATCCTCACCTATTTCGCTGTGTATTGCGAGAGGATGACGATTGTAGCGTGGCGCCGGTGGCGGTGCTATTATTATGGCTTGCTGCTGCGCTACGCGTGCCACGCTGATCGGCAGACGTTCGAGGCAGCCTCGGACTTCCCGCTAAGACGAAGCCGAAGAGGCACGCGGTAAGTAGCACCGTTCGTCTCATAATTACGAATTAATCTTCCGTTACGACTCTCGACGAGGCAAAGAAAAATCCTTGACCGGTCAACTACATTTGAGTAGGTCGCAGATGGTGCACGATCGCGTGCGATCTCCGCGGTGATTTAAATCAATTTCATCGAAAAATCATCCGACAAACGATGAACGAGTACGCGCCGAGCACAGCTTCGTATATTAATTTACTTTCCACTTTCTTTTTCTCCCGTTTTTGTCTATCCCCGTTATACGCGATGCGTAATTTAACTCGCACACACACACACAGTCTATCGCGAAGATACTCTTCGATTTATCACATAGTGATCGCGAACGATTTGCCGAAGTTTAATCGTATCGAAAAAAATTTCGCTCGCCTGCGCATACAAGGAGTTTGATTTTTTTTTTTTTTTTATGTTTCTTAAATTTTTTTTAAATGTTCCTCTCGAGAATGTGCGACTTGATGAGCGCGCAAAATGAAGGTAACATCTCGAGTTAAGGGCGTTGAAACATCGCGCGAACACGCGTTGAAATTTTCGCACTTGAATATAAAAATTTTATTAATTACGATACGACGAAAAGCACAATTTTCTGCACCAATATTATACACTTATGTCGGAAGTTCAATTCTAACTCGGTTAGAATTGAAGCGGAAAGATTCTTCACTTCCACTTTTTTTGTGCAAAATAGAAAACTTGCGAGATTGTTGCAAAAATACTACATCGATTCACTTTCTATCTGCAATTTTGTTAATTTTGTTTTTCCACCAAAGCTTGTTACCGTCGAGAGGCCGATTTTTATCGACCGATCCGATTTCTCGCGTAAACAAAATTTCGTGTATCCTTCACTTCCCTTATCTTCCGTTTCCTTCCGGTTATTCACACTTTTGCTTTTCTTTCTATTTCTTCTTTCTTCTCAAACGCTTTTTTTGCCAACGTCACACTCGGCCGTTCCGTCGCTCAAACCTATCCGGAAATCGACGTTGATGCAAGTCGACGTGTTCGGATCGATTGCCGCGAGGATTGATTGTAAAACGCGAGACCACCGGAACGCTCGCGAAGAAAGTCGAAGAGCAACAGAACGCGATCGAGATGTCGCACGTGCAAAAGTACAGTGACTTCAACTTGCGCGCGCGCGCGCGCGACGCGGGTACACACACGTAGAACACAACGCAACAGACAGATTTCAATGTCGATTTCTATTTCCGCTGTGTTTCTTTTTCTTTCTATTTTTTTCTCTTAGAAAACGTGTTGCACTGGCGGAAACCGACGATTCGCGATCGAGACCGTGCGGTTGTGTGTACGTCCCACGATCTGGACGGAGCACCGCTATGGCATGGCACGTCGGATAAAACCGACGGGAAACACGGGCACGCAGTTTCGGTCAACTGCAAGAGACTTTACTTTCACATTTAAGTGGTCGCGCGCGCGCGCGCGCGCGCCCGCGCGCACTCGACAGAGTCGCGACAACCCTCTCTTTCCCTTCCTCCCTCACCCTCCGTCCCGCGTCTCACACCGACCGCTTCCCGGACTCGGACTCTCACTATCGTTCCTTCTCGAGGAAGACGGTGGGAGGTCCCCGCGGGGTCCTGCGGTCCCATTCTCTCCGGGGTCCAGTCCCGGTCGACTTGCACAGGTGGCGGTGAAGGCGGTGAAAGGGTGGGGTGCAGGCCCCCCCCCCCGAAGAGTGTTCCGTCGGAAACCTTTCTCGCGGCGCCGCACACACAACTGCCGCGCAAGCCGTGCGCAACGGTTTGCGACGGAAACCTTGCGAGAAAATGAAATGAAACCGAGAGTGATATTCGAATGAAAGGAAGGAGAGATATTTACACACCGCCGCGTCCCGCGCGCGCGTGCGGTCTCCGATTATGAATTCTCATTCAAGAAACGAACACGCCCGTATCTGCGCGCGCCCGACGCGGCTTTCTTTTTATTGCAATTTATTTATAAAGCGTCGCCATTCATGCTCTTATTATTGTTATAATCACTTCTATCACCGCTCGTGTGCGCGTGTGTGTGTGTGTAGTATTTAGAGACACACTAAAGAGCACGCCTGTCGGTTCTGCTGTACACACACACACACACACACACACACACACACACATGCATGTGCTAAAACACAACTTCAGAAGAACGTATTTTCAACGAGTAGGTATTATGTGGCTTGAAACAGTTTCATTTTCTTTTGTGTTTTAAATAACGTAACAAGATCCCTTTTTCCAGACGATCGAAATTAAAGACTCGCCGATTCTCGCGCAACACGTTGGCCTAAAAACACCGTTTCCGATCTTATACAACGCTTCGCTATCTCGCGTGCCGTTTGAAAAGCAATTGTGTTGCGCAGCTGGACGCGAACTACTTTCGCAACGCGTTTGTTAATCTTTTGTTAACAACTTTTTGGGGAAGGATAAAACGGAACCCCCGTTAGTAAGTTCGCTCGCGTGTATATTTGTTAATTTCAACGCGTGTGGCGCGCGTTCTGCTCCGTCGCGAAACTTTGCAAGCGACAATTAGTCGCGCGCACACCTGACACACCTTAAGGGAGAACGATCATCCGGACTTCGCGACGATGAGTCGCCAGTTCTTCCGTTCTCGCGAATTGAGAAAAGCGTTGCGCAATAAATTTTTTCCACGGCCAATAAATAATGCCTCTTATATATCGCGGAATTCCGCGCGCAACAATGCGTGACGGAACGTATCGGAATTCCGAAGATCGTGCCGCGCGAAGGTAAGATAACGAGGGGAAAGTAAAAGGGGAAACAAAGACGTGAAAGAGCGCCGATCGCGCTCTGGTGGGTTACGCGAAGGAAGTAAAAACCCGAAAGGAAGTGGCTTGTGTAAAGGTGCAAAATGAAAAACGTCAAAACCAAAATCCCTAGGACAAAAACGCGCCGCCGCGTGGCCGCAAGGTGGTGGATGCGCGGATTGTGTGCCGCGCGCGGCGCGAACGAAGGTTGATCCTAAACCGGTTGCGTCTCGTCGTTGTTGTTTATTTGCAAGCGCGCGAATCATAAGAGGAGAGCGTGTAACATTGAGAGCTGCTGCGGGGCAAAGTTATAAAGCCCGCCGTCGGGTCTCGCTCTCCGTGCGCCGAGGATACTGGAGTAAGGCCGAATCGCGAAGCGAACACACCGCGATTGTCGAGAGGAGAACGGTTTTATATCGCCTTGAAATATATATCCCGGGTTGTGATACAATCACCGCGCGCGATTATTATGGCACTCTCGATTGTTGAGCAATGCGAGATCGACGAAAAAAAAAAAAACAAAAAGATCCTCTCGAAAAATTCGCTCGTCCGAGGCACTCGTCGGAAATCGCGTGCCCGATGTCGATAACCCGTTATCGGTCCGCGACGCGGATTTAGAAGTAAAATAAATGCGATAAGATTAGCGTAGAGATATATAATTGCGCAAAGATTTATACGTAGATAATTACGGACAATACGATTCGTATCGCGCGAAATCGACTCGACACGCGTGCGGTTGTGCAACTTGAAACTTTGTATTATGTGGATTATTAGTGTTTTCGTAAAACTAATTATGTTAGATAATGAGCATAGCGGGCAATATTGTAATGAGTGAAATGACTTCGTCGATAGTTACACAAGACTGAGAATACATTCGACGGGATTAAAAATATTCGACGAGATTACAAATATGTACGCGAAAAAAGGAAAGAGAGGGAGAGAGAGAGAGAGAGAGAGAAAAAACACTCTCGCAATAAACGAGGTTTCGATCCGCTGAAAATGATCGCTGAATTGATCGATTCTTCGTTCGGCATGGCTGCCGTAACGAAATCTACGTTCGTTGTAACAATAATGACGAGTCGCGCTTCAATTACATCTCTCCAACTTTTTGTTTCTTTTCACGCAGTGTCATCGCGATCGACGACCAGATCCGATCGATATGGGGGTCTTAATTTTTTTCGTCAGATTCCTCTATCTAAATAGCGATTACGTCACACTTTCGAAAACGAAAGTGCAACGTATGAAAGTCACGATTATGTAAGTAGCTAGTACAAGACACAAGGTAGGTTCGTAAATTGTATATATAAGGTCGCCGCTCGATGTGCGAACGTCGTCGTTACGTTGAAGCGTAAAGATCTTTGCCAATACCATGAGACGTGACACACCGGCGCGATTGTTCCGCATACAATTCTCTCTCCTAATCAAATTTCACGCGCATTTAATTAAATTGTCCACTGATTAATTACCTTCACCTCGCGACATTCACGTGAAAGAAAGAAAACCAAACACAACATCGAGATGTTCGGACACCTTGATCATCATGACGTTACTCATAATGAATAATAATGAAATTTTTTGTATCTATTCAATTCTGATTTTTTACGAACGAAGATTGTTTTTTGAACGTTTTCTCTTTTTTGTATTTTGTCTGAGACGTCATCAATATTGCACGGCAAATAAAAAAACAATAAAAAGTGGCAAATCGAATCGTCCGAGAGAGAGAGAGAGAGAGAGGTCGTGCGAATCGTGTTAAATCCAATAATTCTTCTCGTTCAATTTGCGCTGGTGTAAGTACGTGAGATATATCTGATCTCTCGAGCCAGGACTGACATAGGAAATGCTGTTTTCTCGGTTAGAAACGAGTAAAGGCACTTTAATTGGAGAAATGGTGGTCAGTATCCCGCCACGCCTTATTCCTCTATTTTTCTTCCTTTCTCTATTGCGCATTTGGTGTAAAAATCACCGGCAGATATAAAAGACATGTAACTTGCGCTCGCGGACCTTTCGTTCAAAAAGCAGCGCTTAAAAGTAAACATACCTCTCATCGAACAGGTGCGCGTCAAAATAGATGCGCGAGATCTTTTTAATTCAATCTTGTCATTTTTATTTTCTTCACTTGACAAAACATCCACCGATAGAAAAGTAATTAAAACTAGGACGATTGAGGTGAACACCGACAGAGCATTCCATTCTTAACCACACTCGCGCGAGCGGTAACGTTTCACGCAGAATAAAAACTCCATTTGATGTACTCGTACATTAAATAAACGTTACCGTTTCCGCGCGATATTTAATAGATATATCATGATCTAATGGAAGTTTTGTTCTGTGTAAGGTAGTCCTACGTTATTTCAAAATTTGAGAACCGGCAACGTTAGTTCTACGTCATTTAAATACTATAAGTTTATTTATTTGATAAACAAAAAATATAATATAATGAAACACCATTTTGCAAATCTATATCTATTTATACAAATTTCAGAACCTCGCGATCTTCTGGAATGTTTTTTTTAAAAATCCGCCGGTCGCGAATGTATTAAAATTAATGATATTCGATCCCCGTCGTCGCCGCTTCTTTTTCCTCATCCTATATAAGAGAATTCCCCCAGGTGTTTATTATTAGATTTATACACGTCTAGGCCGTATCTATTATTTTTACTCCACGCATGCGCAATTATTGCATAATGTAATACGGAGTAGCGGATGTCAACGCGAGAGGAAAAAATGTAACTTTCGAGAACGAAATATTCTTCGCGGCATATACGGATCACAAATATATTATATCTCTATTAGCTATGACGTAATCTCATTGAGAATAATTGCCTCATACCACGACGCATGTGAGATAACCGAGCATTTTGCGGATGCGCGGATCAGTCGTCGAATGAATCGTCTAGTGGACGAATCGTCTGCCCGATACGATTCCGGTTTTACAACGATTGGCGGAGCGACATTAACGTTCGAACATTTAAATCTGACATTAACCAGATAAGATAATAACGTGCGATTTTTTCGAAATACGTAAGAAAATGGCAGACGAAAAAGAAGTTTTCTCGATCAAAGAAGTGCAAGATTATTTACAAACTTACGTATTAAAAAACACTGAACTGACGTCTCCTAAATTCCACATAACAAAAGGTAGCGAAGAAGGCGACAACTATATCGGCATTGTGTATCGCGTCACGATCGAGGGTGTTGAAAACGGTAAAACCAAGAAAATCGAGCTTTTCGTAAAGACCAGACGGAACATGAACGAATGGGGAGACATAAAGGACAAATCGTCGCGTCTGTTCGAACGTGAAATACAATTTTATCAAGAGATATTGTCTATTTTTCAAGAAACCGTAAAAAAACACGGTGGAAATATCGTCCGTTTTCCGTTTTTTTACGGCGCCAGTGTCGAACTCGATAAACAGGTAATTCTACAAAATAAAAAAAAACGTGAATTCTAAAGACAATGTGTTATGTACCAGCGATAACTATAAGAATCGAAGTGTCACTCAAGAACGTGTGCGCGTGCTAGAAACTACTAAGTTTTTATAAATATACATTATAGTGCAGACAACAAAAAAAATCATCCATTTATTATATTGTAATTTGTGTACAATTCCGTTTCAAGTTATCTTTTGAAGAAACTACAGTGTTGCCGCACTTGTGCAAGTTGTATTAAATAATGACACGCATTACACAATAAAACCGGACCGAAACGTGTGATACACGATGGGAAGTAAGACAATATAAAATACGATGGAAAACAATTTTAAAAATAAAATATCTAATCAGAAATCTAAACGCAATAATCTAAAAGTAATACTAAAACAAATAAAAAGAAAATGAAATCTGTAGATAAACTAATTATAGATAATGAGATACGGTATCTCTCTGAAAATATAAAAATAATTTAACATGTGAAAACTTCTTGACTGCGTAATATAACGAAATTTGTATGTTACAGTTGTTGATATTCGAAAATCTCCAATGCAAAGGATTTGTAATGACAAAATCGAGGATACTGGATTATCAGCACATGTCCTTGGCGCTCCGATGTTTGGGCGAATTTCACGCGTACAGTTTTCTCACGCGTGCTTCGAATCCGATCGGTTTTGAAAAATTAAAATTGACGGAACATTTGTACGAAGAAGGAGACTCGTGGTTGTTCAACGAGCAAATAAAATCGTATTTCGATGCGATCAGTGATATTGTACTAAAGGTAAATTAACAAACTAGTGTAAAGTGAGAGTCTCACGCACACGTGTCTTGTCGTTACCTCTCTCGCTATTTATTTAGGCATTAGCGGACGAGGACAAACATTATGTCAAAAGATATCAACAGTTTATCGACAATCTGGATGAAGCAATGTTTTACACGATTGACGCGAAACAGGCTGAACCTTACGCCGTTGTAATACACGGCGACTTTTGGACCAACAATATGTTATTTAAGTACGATAAGGTATATAGAATAAAAAAAAAAGTCATTAAATTTTTTTTTATGAGAGATATTCTACCTCTCTTGTTAAGAGACCTGCGATCAGTCGGAACAAGTGCATCAACTACTTAAAAAAGAAAACGTGTAAAGTGGCTAGAATAAATCTCATTGTAATCAATTGTAATGATTTGGTATTTTTTTTAACGTACGCGTAAAATGTTATTTTGTTTCAGAATAAAATGCCGTGCGACGTGCGATTTTTAGATTTTCAAATAAGTCGTTACGCATCGCCCGCTATAGATATACTTCATATTCTTTTCATGTGTTGTGAGTCGGAAGTAAGAAAAAGATATTGCGATCAACTGATACGCGATTATTACGATTCGCTGTCCAAGTACCTGAAAGGTTTTGGTTACGATCCCGACACTCTGTTTCCTTATGACGTACTGTCTCAACACTTGAAGAAATTCGGCAAATATGCTGCGGGTACAAGTACCTTTATGATACCGATATTATTCAATGACGGAGAGGACAGATCTGTAGAAAACTTATTCTCGCCAGAAGCACTCGAAGAAAAATTAAAAACCAACAGTACTTTTAGAAATCATATAAAAGCTTCGTTTAAAGATATAATTGACAGAAATTATATATGAAGTAGTTTCTCACTTGCACATATTTCAATATAAAAAAGAAAATATCTAACACAATAGAACTTCGGTAATTTCAAGCGTTACATTTTTCTTATAGACAAGCAAATAGAAGAAATATAATAATTTCAAACTCTCGCGGAAGAATCGGTCAAAAGTAATAAAGGTTTAATGTTTATATTGTATTTTATGTACATAATATGTACATAATATGTACATTTTATATATTATAAATAAATTGTAAGAAAACTACCAAAAAATAATTATTTCACTTTTTGTCCTTCCATATCTTATCCTTTCTCCGTATTATATTTGGGCATTAACAATGATTAGTAAATATACGCGACGAAATTTCAACAGTTGTCGCTTCGACATATGCGAGAACTTTTTATAATTATGCTGATTTGATTTTGCATATTTGAAATACCAGAAGAAGCAACACAAGAATAAATCTTATAATAAAACTGGTTTCTCCCGATACGCCGGAGACACATATGGATGGATCAGACAAAAAAAACTTACTATTACAAGATGTAATAGTAAGTTTTTATTGTCTGATCCACGTTGTGTTATATCTTCTGTATATATCTATAGTATCGTGAAGATAATTGCAACACTTGAGTAGTGACGCTGTGCCATGATAAGAGCGACGATTACTCTAGATTTCGCACAGTCATCGGTTCGTCGCGAAATCACTTTATTCGAGTGCGTCGACGAATTCGTACCAGACATCTGTGTGTGCATTTAAACGTTTCAAATCCGGTTATATTGGAAAAAGATAACAAGGCGTGTTCCGCAAGACAAAAGCATAAAAAATGACGGACAAGGAAGTATTGTCCGTCGAAAAATTGCAAAATTACCTGCAATCTTACTTGAGGAAAAATACTAAATTAGTGTCTCCTAAATTTCACATAACGAAACCGCTTAAAGAAGGCGACAATTATATGAGTACTGTGTATCGTGTCGCAATCGAGTGCATTGATGAAAACGGTGACGTCAAAAACATCTCATTTATTGCAAAAATTAAACGGAATACTTACCATCTCGACAATGACAGATTAACGGAAATGTTTCAATGTGAAGCATTTTTCTATCAGACAATATTGCCCATTTTTGAAGAGATCGCAAAAAAACACGGCAAAACTGTCGCTTGCTGTCCGTCGTTTTGCGATGTCAGTGCAGAAGTCGGAAGCGAGGTAATTCTACACTTGTCTTGATAAACAGACGTTGTCACGCTAAATAAAATACTTCAAGCACGAGTACCGATAAAAAAAACAACGCTTAAACGTGAACAATATTCTCGAACAGATGCGTGAGAAAAAATAGATGTGCAAAACTTTATAATTTAATTCCGCCAATTTGATTTCTTTTTTCATTTAAAATAAAAAGGAAAAAGTTTACTGACAGACAAATAAATAAAACTGATTTTTTGCGATTGCGATGACCACAGATGAAATCTTCGTATATTTTTAAAATCAACGATGAATATTTGATCTCTATAGTCAGGTCTCCTGTTTCCTCATTTTATATAAAGACATTTTTCCACATGTTTATTAACTTTATATAAGTCTAGGACATATCTATTAATTTTCCTCTATTTATGCGCAATTGCATATTATATTACGGCGTAGCGAGATGTTAGCACGAAAAAGAAAAGTTTATTTTAAGGATCGCAATATATATATATGTTACATTTATATTACATCCCTATTAGATGACGTAATCTGATTGAACATAATTGCCATATATGATAACGCGTGTGAGATACTCGAGTATTAGTGCGGATGCTCAAGTCAGTTGTCTGACGAATCACCGAGTGGACGAGTCGTCTGCTCGATTCGATTCCGGTTTTACAACGATTCGCGGCGCGATATCAACGTTCGAACATATAAATCTGACATTAACCGAATAAGATATTAACGTGCGACTTTCGCGAAATACGAAAAAAAATGGGTGACGGAAAAGAAGTTCTCTCGATCGAAGAAGTGCAAAATCATTTGCGAACTTACGTGTTAAAAGACACTAAATTAACGTCTCCTAAATTCTACATAACGAAAGGTAGCAACGAAGGCGATAATTACGCTGGCATTGTGTATCGCGTCACGATCGAGGGTGTCGAAAACGGTGAAACCAAGAAAATCAAGCTTTTCGTAAAAACTAGAAGAATTACGACCGAATGGGGAGATTTAAAGGACAAAATGTCGCGTGTGTTCAATCGTGAAATAGAATTTTATCAAGAGATAATACCTATTTTCGAAGAAACCGTAAAAAAACACGGCAGAAGTATCGTCAGTTTTCCGTTTTTTTATGGCGCGAGTATTGAATTCGACAAAGAGGTAATTTCAAGTGTTCCAATACAAAAAAATGAACGTGAATGCTAAATAAAATGTGTCAAGGTCGAGGAATAATAGTAAAAGTCACAGTGTTATGCAAAATTGTGTGTGCGCACTAGTAGCTACTGAGATTTTATAGATATACATTATATGTTCCATCAGACACCAAACTTATCAATTTTTTAAGTCGTAAATTTCGCACAATTCCGTTTCAAGTTATCTTCTGAAAAAACTAGAGTGTTGTCGCATTAATGCAAATTACATTAAACATTGACTCGGATTTCACAATACAGTGAAACATGTAATACGTAATGTGAAGTAAGATATTACAGTAGATACGCTACTGATAAACATCTTTAAAGATAACATAGATATCTAAACAGAAATTTAAATCAAATATATAAAAGTAATAATAAAAAAAGTAAAAATAAAATCTAGATAAACTGATCAGATGAGATACAATATCTCATTAAAAATATAAAAATACTCTAACAATGTAGGAACTTCTTGATTGCGTAATGTAACAAAATTGTGTGTTACAGTTGTTGGTATTCGAAGATCTACAACCCAAAGGATTTGTAATGACAAAATCGAGAATACTGGATTATCCGCATCTCTCTGTGGCGCTCCGAAGGTTGGGCGAATTTCACGCGTACAGTTTCCTCACGCGTGCTTCGAATCCGATCGGTTTTGAAAAATTAAAACTAAAAGAACATTTAGTCGACCAAGAAGACAACTCGTGGTTGTTTAACGATCAATTAGAATCGTATTTCAAAGCGATGCGTGATATTGTAATAAAGGTAAATTAACAAACTAAGTGTAAAGTGAGATTCTCACACAAACGTGTCGTTACCTTTCGCCATATTTATTTAGGCATTAGCGGACGAGGATAAACATTATGCCGAAAGATATCAACATTTCGCTGACAATCTGAATGAAATAATGGTGTACACGCTTGACCCAAAACAAGCTGAACCTTACGCCGTTGTAATACACGGCGACTTTTGGACCAACAATATGCTTTTCAAGTATGACAAGGTATATCGAATAAAAAACAGTCACTAAACATTTTTGTATAAGAAATATTGTAACGTTCTTGTTAAGAGAGCTGCGATCGGTCGGAACAAATGTGTGAACTACTTAAAAAAAGCACATCGGGACGATTAAAGTGACTAAAATAAACGTCATTGTAATCATGTTTAATGTTTATGCATTGTTTTACGTTCGCGTAAAACGTTATTTTGTTTCAGGATGGAAAGCCGTGCGACGTGCGACTTTTAGATTTTCAAATAGCTCGTTACGCATCGCCCGCTATAGATATACTTCACATTCTTTTCACCTGTTGTGAGCCGAAAACAAGAAAAAAATATTATGATCAACTGATACGCGATTATTACGATTCGCTGTCCGAGTATCTAAAAAGTTTCGGTTATGATCCCGACAATCTGTTTCCTTACGACGTACTGTCTCAACACTTGAAGAAGTTCAGCAAATATGGTGCTGGTATAGGTACCTTTATGATACCGGTATTATTCAATGACGGAGAGGACAAATCCGTACAAAACTTATTCTCCCCAGAATCACTCGAGGAAAGATTAAAAACCAACAGTACTTTTAGAAATCATATAAAAGATTCGTTTAAAGATATGGTCGACCGAAATTATTTGTAAAGTATTTTCTAATTGCACATTATATAATGTAAAAGAAAATATGTATCATCAATAATTTGGAGCATTATATTTCCGACTTATCTCTTATGATCGAGCCATTAAAAGAAAAAACAAAATCAGTCCTGCGCCCGAAATTACTGAAGGTTTTACTGTTTATATTGTATTTTATATTGTATTTTGTGTGTACATATTACGTACATGTTATACATTATAAATAAATTTGAGTGGTTCATGTTTAAAAAGATTAAAAAGCATTTTCACACGTCTTATTCGTCCGTATATTTTCCTTTCTCCCTCTTACATTTTGACATTAATAATTATACGCGACAACTCTTTTATAATTCCGCTGATTTGACCTCACATATTTAAATGTAACAGAAAAAGTGATGTTAAAATCAACGATAGCAATATTTAATTTTTATTGTCAAAACTTCTTTTTCCTCATCCCATGTGTGTGTAGAAAGATTTCTCCACGTGTTTATTATATTTATACGTTTTATTTTTATACGTTTAGGACATAAATATTATGTTTATTCCACGCATGCGCGATCGCATATTGTAGTATTGCGTAACGAGATGTCAGCACGAAACCGAAAAGTTTATCTTTACAGATCGCAATATTATTCGCGCTATATACGTATTACAATTATATTACATCTCTATTAGCTAACGTAATCTTATTGAAGATAATTGTCCCGTATGATGACGTGTGTGAAATAAACGAATATATTAGTGCGGATCAGTCGTCGAATGAGTCAAATGTGGACGAGTCGTCTGCTCGATTCAATTCCGATTTTACAACAATTGGCAGCGAGACATCAACGTTCGAACATATAAATCTGACATTAACCGAATAAGATAATAACGTACGACTTTCGCGAGATACGTGAGAAAATGGCAAACGGAAAAGAAGTTTTGTCGATCAAAGAGATGCAAGATTATTTGCGAACGTACGTTTTAAAAAATACTAAGATAACGTCTCCTAAATTCTACATAACAAACGGTAGCAACAACGGCGACAATTACGTTGGCATTGTGTATCGCGTCACGATCGAAGGTATCGAAAACAGTGAAGCAAAAAACATCGAGCTTATCGTAAAGACCAGACGGAAAATGAACGAATGGGGAGATATAAAGGACAGATCGTCGCGTCTATTCCAACGTGAAATACAATTTTATCAAGAGATAGTGTCTATTTTTCGGGAGGCCGTAAAAAACCACGGTGGAAATATCGTCCGTTTTCCGTTTTTTTACGGCGCCAATATCGAATTCGGCAAAGAGGTAATTCCAAGTGTCACAATACCAAAAAACGTAATTTGCTAAATAAAATGCGTCAACGTCGAGCGATGATTGCAAAGATCAAAGTGTCGTGCAAAACCACGTGCACACTAGTAGCTCCTGAGAATTTATCGACATACACATTATGTTGCATCATTCACAAAAATCAACAATTTAGTAAACTGTTCACAATTACATTTTACTTTTTTTTTTTTTTTTTTTTTTTTTTTAAAGAAACTATAGTGTTGCCGCATTTGTGCAAATTAAAATTACATTAAACATCGACTCACGCGCATTACACAATATACCGAAACATGTAATATGTGACGTAAAGTAAGATAACAAACATACGCTACCCTCTGATAAACATTTTTAAAGATAACATATCTAAACAGGAATCTAAATCAAATGTATAAAAATAATAATAAAAAAAGTGAAAATAAAATCTAAATAAACTAATCAGATAATGAGTTACGGTATCTCTCTGAAAATATAGAAATATACTTTAACACGTGAAAATTTTATGATTGCGTAATATAACAAAATTGTGAGTTACAGTTGTTGATATTCGGAAATCTTCAACCCGAAGGATACGTAATGACAAAATCGAGAATACTGGATTATCCGCACATGTCTTTGGCGCTCCGATGTTTGGGCGAATTTCACGCGTACAGTTTCCTCACGCGTGTCTCGAATCCGATCGGTTTTGAAAAATTAAAATTGAAGGAACATTTGTACGAAGAAGGAGACTCGTGGTTGTTTACCGAGCAACTACAATCGTATTTCGCGACGATGCGTGATATTGTAATAGAGGTAAATTAACAAACTTGTGTAAAGTAAAACTCTCACGCGCAAACGTGTCTTATTGATATACCTTCCGCTTTTATACTTACATATATACATATCTATCAGGCATTAGCGGACGAGGACAAACGTTATGTTGAAAGATATCAACAATGTATCAACAATTTGGATGAAGCGATATATGACGCGCTTGACGCGAAACACGCTGAACCTTACGCTGTTTTAATACACGGCGACTTTTGGACTAACAATCTGCTCTTCAAGTATGACGAGGTATATCAATAAAAAAACAGTTACTAAACATTTTCTTATAAGAAATATTATACGCTCTTGTTAAGAAATATACGATCGTGATCGTAACAAGTGCGTCGACTACAATAAAAAAACACATCGAGACGAGTAAAGTGGCTAGAATAAATGTCATTGTAATCATGTTTAATTTTTATGCATTTTTTAACGTTCGCGGAAAACGTTATTTTGTTTCAGGATGAAATGCCGTGCGATGTGCGATTTTTAGATTTTCAAATAATTCGTTACGCATCGCCCGCTATAGATATACTTCACATTCTCTACGCCTGTTGTGAGCCGGAAACAAGAAGTAAATATTACGATCAACTGATACGCGAATATTACGATTCGCTGTCCGATTGTCTGAAAAGTTTCGGTTACGATCCCGACGATTTGTTTCCTTACGACGTATTGTCTCAACAGTTGAAGAAATTCAGCAAATATGCTGCGGGTATAAGTACTTTTATGATACCGATAGTATTCAATGACGGAAAGGACAAATCTCTACAGAACGTATTCTCGCCAGAAGCACTCGAGGAAAGATTAAAAACCAACAATAATTTTAAAACTCATATTAAACTGTCGTTTAAAGATATAGTCGACAGAAGTTATGTATAAAGTAGTTTTAATCTGCACATAATTCAATGTAAAAGAAAATATTTATCACAGTAAAAGTCCAGTAATTTCGAGCATTTACATTTTCGACTTCTTCCTTCTGGGCGAGCCAGCAGGAGAAAGAAAATAAATTTCAAATTTTCGAAAGAATCGATCGAAATTAATGGAGATATACTGTTTATATTTTATCTTATGTATTATGTATATTTTATTTATTTTATTATTTATAAATAAAGATTGATAAGTTCATTTTTAGAAAGACTAACAAGTTTTTTTCATACGTCTCAATCGTTCGTATAATTTTCCTTTTTTTGTTTGACATGTTGATATTAATAATGAATGGTAAATTTACGCGACACTTTCAACAAGCTTTGAAATACGCGACAACTTTTTATAATTTTGTTGACTCTTACATATTCGAAATAACAAGAAGAAGCGACACAATAAATCGTATAATAAAATTGATTTCAATTGATCTCAATGCGCGAAAAATTGTAAATCTGTTCTTTATTTGTTTGAACCACGTGTGTGTTTTATATCTTCCATAGTTATGATACGACACAAATAATCGCGGCACTTGTAGTACCGCGGTGGCGCGATAAGAGCAAAGATTACTCCAGTTTTCACGCAGTCATCGGTTCGTCGCGAAATAACTTTATTCGAGCGTGTTCACAAAATAATACCGTTGTAATAGACATCTGTGTATGTGTTTGACCGTTCCAAATCCGGTTATATTGCAAAAAGATAATAAAAAGCGTGGTCCGCAAGTTAAAGGTGGGTGACAATGACGGACGAGGAAGTTTTCTCGATCGAAGAGTTGCAAGATTATCTGCAATCTTACGCGACGAAAAATATTAAATTGGTGTCTCCCAAATTTCACATAACGAAACCGTCCAAACAAGGCGACAATTATATGAGTACTGTGTATCGTGTCACGATCGAGGGCACCGACGAGGGCAACGGCGACGTCAAAAATATCGATCTTATCGTAAAAACTAGACGAAACTTGCAACAGTTGGGCGATATGAAAGACAAATTAACGAAAATGTTCGAGCGTGAAATATTTTTCTATCAAACGATAGTGCCCATTTTTGAAGAGATCGCAGAAAAACACGGCAAAACTATCGCTTGCTATCCGTCTTTTTGCGATGTCAGTGCAGAAGTCGGAAGAGAGGTAATTTTACACTTGTCATGATAAACAAACGTTGTCACGTTAAACAAAAACGTAATGCAAACACGAAGACCACAATAAAAGAGATACTTAACTAACATACTTATCTAACAGTTAGAATCGCATTACGAATTAATGCGTAACTATTGCATTCTTGTACAAATACCACATCTACTTGACAAAGTTGCGCTATTTATTAAATCATACTTGACTTTATCTCTTAAAGAAATTTGAAATATTTGTGAGAACAATAATAAAAATCGCGGTTATAAATTCTTTTATTGCAAATGTTGCGTTGCAAAGTATCTTTGCCGTTATATCACTTGCCGGTACTATAATACGTCAATATTATATTTTAATACGTATATATATATTAATGCAAATATATTATACGCATATGTATATTTTATTACTATTATATATATTACTAATTGTTGCTAATTTATGTCACTTTAGTAAAACTGAGATACACACAGAAACAAATTTAACATATGATCCTTACACTTTATCTTGCTTTAGTCTACAATGATCTTACTGTAGCATACAATAATGTGTGTATGAATCTATATATTGTGTGTGTATATATATAGACCGGTTTATGGACAGATTATTAAGTAAGATTATGCAATCTACAATCCGGTTAACCTTTGCGTTGCGCAACATGTCGTTACTTTACACTCGATTATGGCGAAGCATGTACTATCGCGAGATGCCTGAAAGTGGCAAAAAATGTCTACGATTATTAATTAATTTCAAAATTATCTTATCATAGTTGCGACACTATTCGGTGTTGCGACAGAAAAAAAATATAGAAGATATATTTCTTTTCTCCTAAATCGCAACCTCTTTGTTTCTCACTTCTTGATTTTCGAAAGTTTTGGAAGTCGAAGTTTATGTAAAAAAACGGAATCTCGCGTACCTTCGAAGTTACATGTCTTCCGCAATTTTTGTAATTTTTTCATAACTGTGTGTGTGTATTTAACGTTACGAGCATAATTACCTGCAAGTGCTCGTTATGAATAATTAATCAGGGAAGTATCTAATAATTAAATTGCCCGCGAAGGTGCAACATTACTGTAAAAAGTTACTGTTGCACAGCACGTGCAACACAAAACAATTAATACGTTATAAAGAACATTTACAAGTTGACAGGCGCTAAGTACGTAATATGTAGAGAAAAAAAATTGAGATTGTATATCGGTATCTTATCGTATAAAGCGTTTCTTAATTGCACGACACAATGAAATTGCTTCGTCATTTCAGCAAAGATGTGTGTAATCTGATTTCTCATTAAAAAAAAACAAAAAAAAAACATTATCATAGGCTTGTTCAGAATTGCATTTTTACGAGACTAGTAATGAAAACACAACAGGAAGCAATTGAGACAGATTAAACATCGCTACGATCGCGCGTATAATTTTTTTCTTACAGATTTTGATACTGGAAGATCTGACTTCCGAAGGATTCGTGCTGAAAGGTTCAACATTAATGGATTACCCACATCTCTCGTTGGCACTGCGATGTTTGGGCGAATTTCACGCGTACAGCTTAATCACGCGTGCCGAGAATCCGACCGCCTTTGAACAATTAAAAATGGAAGAACATTTTTGCAAAAAAGACGAACCGTATTTGTATAATGAACAAATAATTTCTTACTTCGAAATACTTTGTGATATTATAACAAAGGTACTTGGCAAGTATTGTAAAAAAAAAAAAAAAACCTTCGATGATCGTCAACGTGTGCGAGAAAGTTGTCTCACTTTTGTAATTGATTTAGGTATTAGCGGACGAGGATAGACATTATATCGAGAGGTTCCGACGATTCATCGATAATCTGAGCCAAGAAATGTTTGATGTGATTTTTCCAAATCAACTTGAACCTCACGCCGTTGTAGTTCACGGTGATTTTTGGACCAACAATATGCTCTTCAAATATGAGGCACGTGTCGGATGAGAAATTTGTTAATTTTTTTTTTTTGTGAAACAACAAAGCATCAGTAGATCCAAATTACTTTGGAAAAAAAAAATTATTGATAAATCATTCATAATTGTAATTATTAATGAATATACTCCTTTTTTTTCTTTCAGGAAGGAGCGCCGTGCGACGTGCGCTTCATAGATTTTCAATTAAGTCGTTACGTATCGCCCGTCGTAGATTTGGCTCACATTATCTTCAACTGTTGCACACCGGAAACGAGACGTAAGCATTACGATCAACTGATAAACGAGTATCACGAAGCGTTGTCCGAGTGTGTCAAAAGTTACGATTACGATCCCGATGTTCTTTTCCCGTATGAGAAAGTGCGTCAACACTTGATGAAATATGGCAAATACGCCGCGGGCACGGCTCTATTTGGCGTACCGTTTTTATTTAATGACACCGAGGACAAATCAATGGAAAATATTTTCTCACGAGCTGTACTCGAACACAATCTAGAAAATAACAGCGTCTTCAGAAACGCGATAAAGGCCGCTTTTAAAGACCTCGTCGACAAAAATATTATATGATTTCGCATAATTGTGCACTAATAAAAAAAAAAAAAAAAAACTCATAGTAACTACAGTTTTTATAGCAATTTATTCACATTATTGTTACATAAAAATGCCAGTCGGTATTTTTTCCTGCGTCTTGTATTCCTTTATATATTCTTTTTGTTCTTTGTTTGATTACACATTATATTGACTTAAAAATGATCGCGATAGAGATATAAAACGGTATTTGGCAAAGATAAACAATCTCTTCAACAGGTGAGCGTCGAAGAGATACGCGAGACGAATTCTTCTTTACTGGTTTAATTTTGTTCACTTAAATAAATGAAAAAAAAAATAATAATAATGATGAAATAACACTAGAAGCGATACAATGATAAATCATGCAACAAAACTGGTTTCTTTCGAGCTTGATGCTGAAGGTGGTAACCCTGATCTTTTTTTCTTTTCAGCCGTGTGTTATATCATTGATAGCTACGATGCTATTCTATTAGAGATAATCACACCAATTGTGATGACGCCGTGCCGTGATAAAAGCGACGTTTTATTGCGTTCTTCGTACTTGTCACAGTCATCAGTTGGTCGCGAAATCACTCGATTCGATCTTGTTTCTTAATCAAGCGGGAATTCGCAAGATCGTTTTTAACACAATCGACGCATCGCTGAAGTTATTTCAGTTGAGAGATTTAGATTTATTTCACAGTTATCACATACGCGCGTTATCTCTTCACGAGTGATTAAAGGCGTGAAAAAATGGCGGACGAGGAAGTATTCTCGAACGAGGAATTGCAGGATTATCTGCGAACTTACGTGATGAAAAATACTAAAATGACGTCGCCTAAATTTCACATAACAAGAGCCTCCAAGGAGGGCGACAATTACGTCGGCCTTGTGTATCGCGTCACGATCGAGGGCACGGAGAACGGCGAAGCCAAGAGCGTCGTTGTCATTTTAAAAACCAGACGTTTCAACAAATTGTGGGACGACGCGACGAATCAATTTACGAATTTGTTTCAACGCGAGATATATTTTTATCAGACGATATTGCCTATTTTTCAAAAGATCGTGAAGGAACACGGCAAAATCGTCGATTGCAGCCCGTCTCTTTACTGCGCCAGATCGGAGGTCGGAAAAGAGGTAAAATTTCAACTCCTCTTTTGCAAAAAAAAATATATAAAAATCATAATAACGCAAAGAGGCGGAAGTGACAAGTAGAAAATCGTGTTGTGTAACTTGTATACTTTTTCATAAGCACAATCTTGTTTGATGGAGGATCGTTTTGTCGGAACGTGATTATGCAACGTAGTTTTTCTCGTTATAAAAAAGTTGCAACATATATATAGTCAAATTTCAATTAAATACAAAAAATGATGCAACAATTACAATACAGTCACATTCATAAAAAATTTTTATATTTGTGCGTCACTATATTATTTTTTAATAATATATATACGTATAGAAATTAAAAAATAATAGTGACGCACAAATGTAAAACTCACGCTTGTTTTATACACTTCATTAATATAACATTTTATTATCGCAAATTTCTCACAAACGCGTATCTCACTTTAGTGGGGTGATGATAAGATAGACAAGTGCACAGATAAATTTGACATTGAGCGTACACGTGCTCTCAGTAAACTCGTTTGATTGTCAGCCAAGATTATACAATCCAGTTAACCTTTACCCTAAATGAGAGTAAATTGTTACTACAATCACATCACATTTTTAGATTGTAACGTGTTAATCAAATAATTACAAACAAACATGATTGTTTGTTTTGTGTGAACGATCTTATACTTAAAATATCAAATATCATTTGCACACATTCTTTTCGTATTTGACAACAAAGTTTTTCTCGATAACGTAATTGTTGGTTGTTATTTATGTTATTTTTTTTGTTTTTTTTTTTACTTGTTTAATTTTCAATTTTTTGTTTTATTTTTTTATACGACGGAAAAAAACATTTTGAACACTTTCTCTTTAAAATCGCAACTCTGACGTTAGGATTCTTTCGTAATTCCTTGTAATCTTTTTATTGCTTGTGTGTATTTAACCGTGCAAGCAGACGTAATCAACTGTAATGATTTGCTACGGGTTTTTAATCAATTAATCACAATTTCCCGATAATTACATGCCTCGGGAAGGTGCGTGTAACATTTTTTTTTTTTTTTTTTGCTTAAACACGGACTTGACTTTTAGCACGTTACTTTGATTTCGCGCACAATGAGTTGCTTTAATGTAATTTTTTGTCACGAAAAAACGCGAATACATCCTCGTATCAGATAAAACGTTGTTACTTGCAACATTTAGTGAACTTTACTTCTTATTCTGACAATGTGATTTCTCGCTTACGAGAAAAGTAACTGAAAATCAGATTGCATTAGATTGCGCATTTGCAGAAATTGCTGAAACATCAAAAAAAAAAAAGGATCGTGTTTAAGATAAGGAAATAAACAGTCAAGCGTAAAATTTTCATTGCAGATTTTGATATTGGAAAATTTAAATCCCAAAGGTTACGTAATGAAAAGTGCAATACAACTGGATTATCCGCACGCCTCTTTGGCATTAAAAAAATTAGGTGAATTTCACTCGTACAGCTTTCTCACGCGTGTCGCAGATCCGACCAGCTTCGAAAAACTGAAGCTCGAAGAGCTTTTTCTCAAGAAAGAACCACCATCTGAGAAAATGTCTTTCTTCAGAGATTTAGTTATTAACGTTGCGATCAAGGTAACTTGGCGTTTTTTTTTGTTGTAGTTTCAATGATAGAAAAAAAACGCGACAATACCTTGTCATCGTACGTGTGTTTTATTACTCACAGGCGTTAGCGGACGAGGATAAACATTATACCGAGAGGCTTCAGAGGTTTATCGACAATTTAACTAACGAGATGGCCGACGCGGTCGATGGAAAACAAGCTGAACCTTACGCCATTCTGATTCACGGCGACTTTTGGACCAACAATATGCTCTTCAAATACGATCAGGTGCATATCGAAAATAAAACAAATTAGATATTTTTCAACAAGTAAAATATACGTTTAAATATATATTTCAGGAAGGAAAACCGTGCGATATACGCTTTATAGATTTTCAAGTATGTCGTTACGCGTCGCCGGTCATAGACTTAGTCTACACATTCTTCTGCTGTTGCGCGCCAGAAACGAGGAGTAAATATTATGATCGGCTGTTACACGACTATCACGAAGCATTGTCCAAGTCTCTCGAAAGTTTCGGTTACGATCCGAACGATTTTTTTCCTTATGAAGTATTGTCCGAACACTTAATGAAATTCGGCAAATTTGGTGCCGGTATGGCTCTATTTTGTTTACCCATATTTTACAACGATAGCGACGACAAATCGTTGGAAACTGCGTACACGAAAGAAGCGCTTGAAGAAAGATTGGAAACCAGCAGCTTTTTTAGAAATAACATAAAACGCGCTTTCAAAGATATCATTGACAAGAATTATATATAACGTAAGTTATATATAATTAACTGTGAATAAATAGGTGTAATTATATTTTAACAACAGACATTACGTCAGACTTACGTATTAGATGAAATTGTCAAATCATGTGCCCGAGTTTTACTTTACACAGTTTACATGTAAAGTACGTGCTTGTGCACTTTTGAAGACACTTCATCGACAAAAATTGTGTATAATATGTTGAAATTATATTTTTTAAATTTTATAGGGGAAGTAGAGGTAAAAAAAAAAAGTAGCGTATACAACGCAAATTAAGCATTTGAGAATTTTGAATTTTCGAATTCGCATTCAATTCGAATTACTATGTATTGATTTACACGTAAAAAAAAAATATTTCACACATCCAGTATTTGTCTCTGAATAGTTCTTAATCTCGTTGTTAATTATGGATATTGAAAAAAGCTTGCGCAAATATTTGTTAAAAGTTGTCAATTGTAACAGATACCAACTAAAAACTTACGTAAAGAAAAGGTCGTCGTACGATGGAGAAATGACGCGCGTTGATTTGCTATGTCAATGTGAAAGAATGTACAACTTTTATTCACAAATTTGTTTGTATTAATGCACCGCACTTTTTTCATCATTCGAATACATCGAACTTTCATGTAATTTTTCTCTGATTGTAATTTAGAGAAAAGTGAAAATTCTATAAGAGAGATACATTTGTAAATGAAATGTACAGATTCTCGAGATATATAAAATAAAGAGACTTTTACTACATAATTGTATGATAAAAAGAATATATTTAGGTGTATACCTTATATCTTTTTTTTTTTTTTTGTTTTGTTTTGTTTTTTAATAATAAGGTCTTCTCGGATTGTTCTGAAAGCAAACGGAAAATGATTAAGTTCCGTAAACGTTTGATTGTGAATATTTTTTTTCTTTGTCCGTGTAACTCTGTCACAATTACTTACTAATGGATTAGGCCTAAATCTGTAAGCTAACATCATTCTTTTCCTATACGCATCGAATTCATCGTCGTCTCTAGACACTCCGTCTGGTCTCTCCGATCCTAATCCCGCGCTATCGAGTCTATTTGTAGCTCTAGAAGCAATAGTAATCGTTGATTATAATGTGGGAAAAAGGTTTTTTTAAAGCAATAATATTAAATTACAATATCAAGTGTAGTACAAAGTCTTACTTATTAACCGGTTCGATACGGCCGCTACCCTCACTACCTAAGCCCTGTCCTTCGCTCCATCCTAGCTTTTGTAACATCTGAAATCCTGGAAGAAAAATATTAAATTATATAATAAAGTGAAAAAAAATAATCGAGTACAGATTTTAAGAAGAAGAAAACTAACGTGTAGCGTTCAAAGTTGTGTAAAAATGAGGAAATTAAGAACAGAATTATTAAATTTTACAATGATTTGTTTGTTACACATCAAAATAAATGTAGAACAATTGTTTCGAACATACCTATATTGTCTTCTTTTAACTTATATTCTTTATAGTCGCTCAAATCAGGTTCTTTTCCTTGTTTTACAGCCTTGTATTGCTCCATGAATTTCTTCAATTCGTCCGGCGGTAGAAAATCGCCAATGTGGTGTTTGCCCTCCGCTTGCGCGGTCAGTTCCTCGGCCCACATTTGAGTCGCTTCCATTTCGGCGGATCTCAATTTGTGTTCCCAAGTTCCACCTTCCGTCTCTTCGTCGCTGTCGTACTCGTATTTGTGTTTTCCCTGCGCTTCCAAGCGTTTAACTTCTTCTCTTTTCTTCAAGAGATTTTGGTACAAAAGATTTATCTGCAAACACACACGTGTGTCCATGTCAGCTCGTTCAATCGCTACGCTGAATGCGTAGAAAAATCAAATACCCGATTGTGACAATCGCACTCACCTTATAATGATCCTCTGCTTTTTTCCATTGTTCCTCGCTTAGATCGAGCGTGCCGAAAGTCTGCTTTGCATATTGAATAAGCGCAGGATCGTTACGCGATATCTTGGTGAGCATCGGATTCTTCGTCTTCGTGTTTTGTCCCTTTGATGGAGACGGTATTATAACCGCGGGTTGGCCGATTTGTCCCGGTATGGCTATCCCAGGTCGCGGAAGCGCAGCGCCCGGTCTGTTATCAGAAGACACACTCGATTCCGGAACATAAACCTTAGTGTCCGGATCGCCCCAACGACTACGTCTTTTTCTTTTCCGTTCTTCTTTATTATCCTCCGAGTGATCTGCTACATAGATGCGATACAACGTATCGTAACACGTGTGTGTTAACGAGCAACTTTTACTTTAGTACAATTGAAAAACGTATGGATTTGTAATTTTGCTCTACCATATGCAGTCGTATGGGATTTCTGGGATTTATCTGACTCGTCGTTGTCGCTGAGAGCTTCTTCGGGGCAGTACAGCTCCGCGCCGCTGTTCTTCTTGTCCTTGTCCGACTTTTCGGCGCGAAACTTCGAAACCAATCCCCTGTACTGCAGATACGCTGCACTTTGCTTTTGGTGCAGAAACCTTGATTAAAATAATACTTAAAACGCTGTCTAGTAAATATGTATTCCTAGATAGAAGATTTTCGTAGGAAAAGTATAAACGTTAATAAGAAAAGTGTGAAATGAAAAACTCAACAAAATGGATACAATTGCGGCTGATATTATAATCTTTGAATTGCCGATACACTAAAATCTCTCGTTGCGCGATAATCGACATTTAAATTTTTGCTCTTTGAATTCGACCAGGGGCGGCGTCCCTGATGCTTTGCTCAACTTGCTTAGAACGTCCCTGCGGCCAACAATTGAAAAAATTTTGACATCAGATCACATATTCTTTTCATTACAAACACATCAATGCATTTAACGTAATTTTTATTTCACGATTTTAGTGTATTCGTAATTATGCAAATGGAATTTTTGCAAACTTTATACGTGACTGTGTTTTATTATTCATACGTAACTTTATTAGTGTTCAGCAAATATATTCTTTCATCTACGCAGTATCACTTAATATTGATGATACTTATAGAATTTATTTCTGACAGGATGTGGCAGATATGTGTGGCAAAATAAAAAAATTAAGATTACAATTTAATGTAAAAAAAGAAAATACTTGAAGCATTGATGTAGTACTTGTGTGGCATTTCTAAAGGAATAAACAACGAAAAAATCAAGAAATGGCAGGAAGCTCAGAATGTGCAAACATGTTCCAAAAGATATTGCGACAGATTTGACTGAAAATAATAACAAAACAGACGATCGTTTCTAAATCTTGATGCAACAAGTTGTTTTTGTTTTTTTAAAAGAGAGCGAAATTCTTCTGTATTGCATTTTACTCAAACAACTAATATACAGCTTAAAAACGTTTACGTGATCATATCTTTTGTAACATTTTCTCGTGGTTTTATACAGATGTTTCCTCTTTGTTTAGCGCAGTAAAGTAAAAGATATGAATATTAAAATAATATTCTGAAAAGATGTAAACGATTCTCTACACTAAATTAGGGAAAATTTGTTAGATACATATATATCCACTACTGTGATTGCAAGACCATACGTCGACATATATACATTATTTATACAAGTTTATCAAGTATCTAGAATATAGCACGTGACTTGCTTTACGAGGATACAAGAAACATGTGTACAAATTTCTATGATAAAGTCTCATTAGGATATCAGTCAATTTTTAAGAGCGAAGCTTATTTGCAAATTTGCAAAATTACTGGCGCTACAAGCGGACATTTGTCAAAACTTCAATCTATCTATGTGTGTTACTGAGGATATCGTGAGAGAGAGAATTACATTGATGAGAGATAGAGATTTGTACAATGTTTTGTAATTATACGAAAAAAAGTAAAAACTAGTATCGTCCCATTGATATCGTACAATTATGAATTGTATTACATACGAAGGAACACGAGGGAAAATGGAAATACAAAATGAGGACCAGTGAGGACAGTAGTTACCATAATTTAGGATCTTGGGCATTCTTCTCGCGCACTTCTTGTTCAATTTCATCTCCACAGTCAGCCACAATGCGTGCCAGCTGCTCAGCCTCTACTAGACACACTTAGAATCTCTTGTCAGACACTTTGCAATAATGATATCCCTAATTCACTTTATACATTATTATTTCTCTCTCAATCAATAATTTTAATCAAGCATTTATATTCAATTTAGTGCCATATCTCGCAAGCAAGTATATCTTTTTAGTACACAATTTGTAATATTATCGTAAAGAGCGGAAAATAAGTGAAATAAAAAAATAGTTTTTGATATAAACTTATAGATAACACAACTGTGTAGTACACACAAATGTAAAAGAAACGTATTTGTTAAGATTGACGTAGTACCTTGTTGTTCGGAGCTCTGCAGATTCGTCGGCGGTCTCACGGGCGGCGGTATCTGCACGTTAGGAGGACCCACTGAGATAGGTACCTGATTAGAAAGTGGATAGCTAGTGGACATAAGATTCCGCGGTGGTGCTGCGTTCGGAATAACAGTGGGAGGTGGAACGTTGGGTGGAGGAATATTTAAATTTGGCGGTGGGACCGAATTGATGGTAGACGGAACGGTATGCACTGGCGGAGGTGCTGACATTATCATGGACGTTATCACATTTGGTGGTGGCACGTTGGCTACATTGGGCACTGTCACTACGACAGCCTGGGAGCCCGTGATAGGCATCATGGTCGGTGGCATTTGCGACATCGGTGGCAAAATGTTGGGCGGTGGTATGTTAGGCGGAGGGATATTCGGAGGTTGTAAATTAGCGCTGCAGACCGGGGGTGGTACGTTACACTGTTGTGAATTTTGTATCATGTGCTGTTGTCCGTTTGATGACGAAGACAAATTCGGCATCGGCATGGGCTGAGAAATTTGCATGTTCGGCGGCGGGACGTTCGTGTTGGGTGGAATATTTTGGATTGGAGGTGGCGGCGGCGGTGGTGGTCGTATGATATGTGGTGGTGCGATTTGCATTCTGTTACAGTGATCGTTCATGTTACTAGTATAATTATTACTAAAATTGGTCGGCGCCGGTATCCTTTGCAAATGGGCGGATGGAACGTTTGGTGTCAGGTTTCTCATGTTGGGAGGTGGCACATTGGTCATTTGCATTTGCACCGGTTGCGACATAAGAGATGGGATGGAAGAGACGTGATTGCTATTCTGAATAGGGAATTGATTGTATTGAGCGTGGTGTCCGTTCTGTGATTGATTATAGCTACGATGTTCGGGACTAGGCGATCTTTGTCTGGTAGGCGATGGACTTGAAGAGGAGCTGTTCTTCCTGTCGGAGCTTCTTCCCCAACGTTGATCATTTCTTCTACGATCCCGTCTGCTGTCCCAATCTCTGCTCTTTTCGTTGCTACGATTTCTCTCTCTGTCTCTTTCTCTAGTGGTCTCATAACTTTTTTCATCTTTCTTCTTGTCATCAGATTTATCCTGCTGCGACTCTGACTTGCTGGTTCCTTTATTTGCTATTTTCTTGAACTGATCGAGAAAACTACCGTCATTGGCGAATACGTTCATGGAAAGCGATGTGACAGGTTTTTCATCTTCTTCTCTGCAAAGTTATTAGAAAATCCAGATAGACTTTCGAGAAACTTGACAATTTCCGACAAGTATATAAATTATTACAATGAGTTCACAAGAGAAATTGATATAATACAATAATAATAATCCACAAAAGACGTACTTCGGGTCGTTACTTTTGCTGGCGGTCGTGGACGAGGACGACGAATTCGACTTTTTCATCGACTCCACGGCTTCCTTCGCTTTCTGCTCTTGCAGCTTCGCCTGAATCTCTTGTGTTTTCTGTTTTATTATTTCTTCTTGCTTTGACATTTGCGCAAACCGTTCGTTTCGCGTTGTCTTCGACACAAACGGATCGCAACCCTTCACACCCCGATACGCCATTTTTCTTGTTTTTTCTCACGGTGTTTTCACAAAGATTTTTACGAACCTCACACACAAAGCGGTTATAAAACACCACTATCTCAAACAATTCGATTATTGTCGTTTGGAGAGCGAGACAAATGTCGTTCGGACAAATGGGAGTTCGGAGTTAGGACTTTTGTTCAGTCAAAGAACGCGCAACATCTTCATCCTTCATCGCATACGAAACAATATATCGGCCATATGTTTTTACGTCTCTACAAATCACAAACTTAATGAATAATAGACCGCACGTTCTGTCAAAATGCTGTACAGAATTTAGACGGAGTCTCTCTCTCTCCTTCTTTTTTCTCTCTCTCTTTCTCTATCCTTCCGTCGCAGGAACGCGACCCTAGCGACTCTCTTAGGGTTTTACCAACTGCGATAACGCAATCGGTCGACCAATCATCGTTGACCGTTTCGGCCAATCGATCAACGCGATTGGTTTAATTCTGTTGAGTTTGTCAAACGAAGTCGATAATTGAAATTGGTAACCGGACTTCCTGAAGTTGGCAATCGACTTCTCGATTGGTTAGGTTTCACATGGTTCACAGATCGCTCTAGCACGTTCCAACAACAACACGTTATATATAAACAAAAAAAAAAAAAAAAGAATAGTTTTGGTTATGGCTTCGTATTCGAATTTTGATTTAAAAGAGAAAGTAGACAAACTTAGTTTCAAAGATCCAACGGCTCTAAATTCGCTATGTCAAAGTATAGCCTCTGGTATGTCTTTTATTTAGCAATTTTTACACAATTGTTTTTCGTTGTTAAGTAATTTTTTTGTGTGTTATAATAATGAAAGAGACACGTGACAGTTTGCAGAAAAGATAAAATTAAAGTTTTGTTTTTTTTTTTTTTTTTTAATATCTTGAAACAAATAGTGTGTTTGTTTTTATTATTAATTTTATTATTGTTACAAAATAAAAAGTGAAACAATAACTCTAGCTTTTACGTGTTTGACATGTCAAATCTTTTATTTAGTTTCTACTTCTATCTTCTCCCTTGATTTAATAAAATCTATGAATTTATTGGTACTTCAATATTTTTTCTATGGTGTTAATATGGTCAAGAATATTAAGACTGTTTTTTTTTTATTTCACAGAAATTGAATCAGGTTCTCTGAAACTGTACACATTTGTTGAGATACTGGGCTCTTTTATGACAGATCAGAATGTTCATACCAGAGAAAAAGGAGTTACAGTTCTTTCTTCTGTTTTGTCACAGCTGCCACAAGATTATCTTACAGAACCAGAGTTACACTTTATTACAACATTTTATTGTGACAGAATGAAAGATCATTACAGTGTTATACCATCTGTGTTGAATGGTATTCTAGCAATTGTGAGTACACCAAGACTCATTTTTTTTTTCTGTCATTTCTGTCACAACTTTATTTCTAAGTTTTATGTGTGTTTTACTTTTCCAGATACAAATGACTCACTTGCCTCAAGATACACCATCATCCTTATTAAGAATTATGTTCGAACACGTTCAGTGCCAGTCTCAGCTAGTGGCGGAGCGTCATAATATATATTTAATAATCAAACATCTAATTGAGAACAGACCGAATGATTTGAGATCCATGGGGCCAGATTTAGTTTATGGTGTTATCAGCTCTATTGATGGCGAAAGAGATCCGCGTGTTCTCATGTTGTTGTTCGATATGTTACCGCTCTTTATAAAAGAATTCCCGTTGGGTCACTTAACTGAAGAAATGTTTGAAGTTGTGGCATGCTATTTTCCAGTTGATTTCAATCCTGTAATTATGACATTAATTTAATTTTTTCTTTTATCGTGTGCGCACAAAGCGTAACAGTTGATGCGTATAATTGTACAGAATTTGTAAATTTATATTTTTCAGTCTGGCAAAGAAGATCTGAACGTGACTCGAGACGACTTGGCAAGAAAATTGTCACCCTGTTTGTACGCTGTTCCAGAGTTCGCGACTTACTGTATACCTCTTATACTAGATAAATCGTATTCCACTCTTAAAGTCGCTAAATTGGATTCCTTGAATCTGTTGCGCGACAGTGTAAAAACATTCGGAATGGAAAAGTTAGAACCGTATCTATCAGATCTGTGGACGACCTTGAAGAAAGAAGTTGTACCGGGAAGAGACGACGCCGAGATAAGAGACGCTGCTCTGGAAGCGCTGACGTCCTTGATTACGGTTATATCGGCGCACGAAGATACGTGCAAAAATTATATTAAAAAAATAATCTCCGACTTAAAAATCTCGTTAAGCGACGTACAGCTTAGCTTGTACAAACCTTCGCAAAAACTGTTGGAAGCAGTGGCGACGATCAGTAAACCGATATGTGTGCAAATTCTGCAAGCTGTGATACCTTTGTGTATCGGACAATATTCCACGAAAACTTTGCTGAATGATAAAATTACTTTAGTGGAAACCTTAAATGACTTTATGAAAATTTGTTCGAATCACAACTTTTGCATTCGAGGTAAGTTGCGTTTCAGCGAAGAAGATTCGTTTGCTTTCCATTGTGTGTACACCGAGTACATACTTTTCTTACATTGAAACTGCCACTTGTATATTCGTCATATTTTTTCTACATACAACACACACACATATATATATATATATATTTTAATATAGAACAAAATTTGATTCAGATATTCCAGAATTGACGTGGACCAATATACCTCAAATATATTTAGACGGCTTAACGGTAGAAAATATTGAATTGAAGAGTAAGATGTTTCACGGCTTGACAATTCAAAAGGCGCATTTAAACGATGCGCAACGATCCATATTGTACAATGTGATATGCAACGAGATAGAGACGGGATGTGACGAGGTGCAGAGTCTGTGTCATAGGATTACGATAGATTTTGCTGCGTTATATCCTCAAGAAATATCATTGTTAGTTAAAGAAAGATTATTATTGTTTACCGGTGAGTTTAACATATACCATTGCGATGCGATTTAGTAAAATGTTAACAGAGAGAGAGAGGGGAAAGGTACAAGAAATAATGTCATATCGATCATGTTTTTTTGTTTTTTTTTAGATGAAATGGAAGTAGACTTAATAAAACGTAGGATAAAAGCTTTGTTAACAATAGCAAAATTACGCGAATTAGGCTGTGTGATTCTACCAAAAGTCGTTGCGATGTTAACGAAAGACGTCAACACTGACGTGTGCATCACGATATTGCTAAACATCAAGACACTGATCGCTTCAAAGACGTCTGATTTCAACGTGCACGAATTTCTGTACAAAGAGTGTCACATTATCGACAAATTGTTCTCGTACGAGACGATCGTTGTCGATCGCAAAATGCTGATATGCAATCTCTGTCAGTTGATAGTGCGAAATCTAACGAGCGACGAACAACGCGCGATCGTCGCGCTATACGCGACAGCTCTGAATACAAAAATTCCGGAAACCGACGTGGCTGTAATAATGAATCTTTTGATTCCGTTGCGAAACGATATTCGCTTGGACGTCAACAACAGTACGGTGGAAAATCTGTACAATCTAGCGATTAGCAGCGGCAGTCCGGACATCAGGCAAACAACCTGTGCGTTCTTGTCGGTTTTGTTGAATAAAATGGAGACGGTGGATCTCGATCGGATTGTTCCTTATTTCAAAGACGAGATAAGTAACAATCTTAAAGCTAATATCGATGTTGAACTGAAGCGGCATACCGTTCATCTTCAGATTTGGATAACCAAAGCGCTCGTCACGAGAGGATACGCTAGATCTCAGTATTTTTTAGAAAACGTGCGTGCGATTTTACAACAAATTTCATTTTTTTTTTATTTTTGTTTTTTATTTTTATTGTTAAATGTAAAGAAATTACCAAGCATCTTTAATTTTTACAGCTTACACATCTACTGACTCACGACGAAATAGGCGCGTACGTAGCCGAACAATATCAAATTTTGGTAAGCGAACACGACGATATTTTGGTAACGGAAAATTTCTGCAACGTTAAGATTTTTTACAAACAAAGAGTGTTCGAATATCTATTAGGACGGAATGGTAATTTTACAAATCCGAACAGACAGAATTATCTCATTGCTTTAGTACATCTGTTGGAACAAGTACCTGAAGATTTGTTATTTTTGCATTTGACTAAGGTGAGAAGGATTTGTCGTCGCAAATCCATCAGAGATAAAAAAAAAATGATATACATGTGCGAATGAAACTGTAATTAATATGTTGTTAGGTGGTACCGCTGTTGATAGAGTCTCTGTCGCTTAGCAACGAGCGTTTAGTTTTTTGGGCACTAACGTTACTTAAACTTTTACTCAACACCAAGCACGAAGTGTTCTCCGACAACGTGCAGTGCGTCGTGCCGAGACTTCTGCAGTTACTGACGTATCGAATTATGGTGACGTTTTCTTCTTCTTTTTTTTTTTACATTCAGTTTGAACTGTTTTTCCACTTTTAATTGCTTGTTCACATTTTATTTTGTTTTTCTCAACAGGATATTAGAATTGCTGCCGTACAGTGTCTCGCGCATTACGCCAATTATCCTACTATCCTAATCAATCCGTACAAGCAAGATGTACTGGACAAATTAGGCGCGGCAATCGACGATCGCAAGCGTCTAGTTAGGAAGGTTGCGGTGGACGCGCGAACGCGATGGTTCTTAGTTGGTGCAACTGAAGAGACAAAGAATTGAGCGTGACGCATAGAATTTCAGTTTTATGTAAATACAAATATATATATATATATGACATTTGATATATATATATATATATTTTTTTTTTCTTTGTACATTCGTTCAGACAAATGTAAATGTAATTTTGTATTGCCAAACATCAATATGTTGTGTTTGTAAATCAACGCTCGTCGTTTATTCACCACACACGCACAGCGATCTGACAAGATATCCACTTTTTCCCACACATCCCGAGTTTCCGTCCAGCCCTGGCACCTCTAATTGAGTTAAGAATTTATTTTATTAAGCGGATTTCAAAGTCACAGAGCTCGCTAGCCTAGTTTACGCTCAGTGCGACGCAAGCATGGCTGAGGGTGAGAACATAAATTTAAAGTTTGAAATATTAACAAACATTTTTCTTCGTAGACGTTGTGTTAATTTGACAATTGTGAGAAAAATTAAAGTAGGTAGTTTATAATTCTTTTGTATTGAATATTCGCACGTGTGTTAGGTGTTGCGAAGAACGGCGCGTACAAATACGACGACGGTACACGATACATCGGAGATTGGAATCGTCGGGGTTTGAAACACGGGGCTGGTTTGCTAGTTCTTCCGGACGGAACGCGTTACGACGGAGCGTTTCAGAATGGATTGTGCTCCGGTCTGGGAGTTCTCGTATTTTCCGACGGTGCCAAGTAAGTCGCGCGTCATAAGTTTTATTTTCAATGTCGTGGTTTCCTTTTACTCAACAACGTCGTTCGAGAGAATGAGCCTTTCTTTGCATTTTTTTTCTTTTGAAGATACGAAGGCGAGTTCATGCAAGGATGGTTTCACGGTCACGGTGTATTTTGGCGAGCCGACGGAATGAAATTCGAGGGAGAATTTCGCGGAGGCCGTGTTTGGGGCTTAGGTATATATTAAAAAAAACTAAATAATTATAATTAACAATTATCCTTTGATTTCACGCGAGAAAAAAATTATTGCGGTTAAATTAATCGTTTTTTTTTTTTTTATGTTTTATGTGCGCGCGATCGATAGTATTTATTTTTTATCGTAGGTTTAGTGACTTACGCCGATGGATCGCACGGGTTTCCGAGAAACGAAGGTTTCTTTCAAGATTGCAGATTGGTGCGACGACGACGTTGTCCGGATGTAGTGCAAAAGGCACAAAGAATTTCTATGATGGCGCGCGCTCAATGCAATTAAGTACGTGGTAATCTCAATTATATATAATATACATATACATCTTCCTTCTATTAATTTACATATATTTCTGTGTGCGATACTATTTTAATAAAAACTTTTTTTTCGGCCATTAACATTGCTAAATACTTTTCTGATATAATTTTATGCACATTTGATCAGAAATGCAAGTGCATACTTTCGTGTGTGACTAAAGCGTGACGCTTTATAATATGCAAGTTTCTTGAATCTCGGACGAAATTGTGCGTTACGTGCCTAAAAGAAAAAAAATTGGAGAGGGAACAACAAGGTTAGAACTACTTTCCGCTCGGAGAGGCGTGGTCCAGCCGGATGTTCCAGTTTTTGAAGGTGCGGCAATCAGCGGTCAATGTATAACATGCATGTAATTGTTTTTTTTTTTTTTTTTTTTTTTTTTTTTAAAAAATATCGAAATGATTTCATTTTCTATTGTGCCTTTTTGTGCGTGAAAAAATAATGCAATAATATAAAATTCACGATAAAGTTAAGCACCGCCAGTATTGTTCTTTCTCCATCTTTTCTTTCTCCATATTTTCTCTTCGAAAAGAACCGCACCTTGAAACTTTTTACGCGTATGCGATGAAATTATTCAAATATTGTCTTTTCTATCAAAAAAGTAAGAAAAAGAAATAAATAATACAAATTATTTTTTCTTGGGAATTCATTTTACTTTTTCGTGTAGAGAAAATATCGTAAGAAAAAATACTATATTTAAAAGTAATTTATATTATATAAAATGTGTTTTTTCAAAGAAGAGGCATACAATATATTTGCATAAAGGAGATACGAATAAAAATAAAGTTTGTTCTATTTATAAAACTTACTTTAAAAAAATTTATAAAATGTAAACACACAATATCATTATTGGACGTAATGACATATTGAAGGGAGAGAAAGACAGTGAGAGATTTTTTTGCCGAGACAATGGCGCAATACTTATCAAATTTATCCTTGACACTCTAACTCCCACCATAACAAACTGTGCACACACTGTACAGAAGATTTCGAGTTTCGTCGTTAGTCCGGCGAGTATAAAAGTGCCGATTGTCATCGGCAATAGCACTCGTATTTCGGCACAGATCCGATAAAGGTATCGTAAAAGATCCACTGAACAAAACACAATGGCAGCTAAGGTACGTACATACACAGTTATCAGTGACAAACTATGTAGACATTTAATAGTTGATTTATCAACTAATATATTTGCACGATTTAGACTCTAGAGAATCTCAGACACACGCTCATACGTAACTTTACAATATATATTTTTTACTGTTTTACAATGTATATTTTTTTTAGAACAAATTTTCTCAAAAAGATATCACAGACATATTAGAGATGAGATTATAAAAGTTCAAAGATGGAGAGAAATTGGCGTAAATTTTATATACTGTTCAAATCTCACAGATGAATTTTATTTTCATGATTAAACAAAACAAATGTATAATATGTACATATAAGTATTATAAAATTCTATTTCAGCTCTTCGTGATCGCCTGCATCCTGGCCGCGGCCAACGCTGGCTACATTGGTGTGCCCTCCGCCCTGTCGGTCGCGCCGATAGCGCACATTCAGCCCCACGCCATCACTTCGACGTCCGACAATATACTGCGCAGTCACGGCAATTTGGCTCAAGTGGCCACGCAAACCAAGACCATCGACACGCCGTTCTCCAGCTCGAGCAAGACTGACATCCGCGTGAGCAATCCGGCCACGATCGCCTATGCTGGATACGCTGCGCCCCTCGCTCATCCAGCCACCCCCTTGGCATACTCTGCCGCGTACCCCGCTGCCATCCCCGCTGTACGTGCCGCTCCAGCCGCTCTCGGAGTCGCTTACTCGCCGGCCGTCGAAGTGTCCCACATGAGCTACAGCAGCCCGATCGGAATCGCCTATGCTTATTAAATCGACCACGTCTCTCTCACATTGTCACGCAATGTTGTCTGTTCTTATATATATAGCGAACCAATATTTATGTATTTATTCGACATCTTGTACTTATCCGTGTACGCCATAAATTAATGGCACACGTGATTTATGTACGTACACAATAAAAATCATTCTTCTTCTCCAAACGATCGGTCTCTTCATTTTCTCAGACATCGTACAAGTTTCCGTAGCAAGTTTTAATCTCAGGTATTGAAGATCGATGCCGTGAAAAGGCGATTAAGAAACACAGTCATCGCCTCTTGTTCAGTGCGTAATTTAATTATATATTGCAGAGTAAATTATATTTACATTTAACAGAGTAACGAAGCGTTTTAAATGAATGGGATATTATCAAACTTGTCGCAATCATGTAATTTCGGCCCTCCTCATTGACAAAAAGTGCATAGTTTAATTTGCACGTGACCGAAAGAAAGGTGATTGGATAAATAATATTTTAAATAATCAAACACAACGCTCGAATATTTCGGGTAAGAGAATTTTATTAACTTTTTATAGGAAAATTTCAATAATTTACAAAAGTTTTTGAGTACAAGGAAAACATTATTTCGGAGTAGGGGAGAATTTAGTGAACGTCAGTTTCAAGGGATGTATCAACCGATTGTGAATCAATGTTAGAGATTACAGTAAACACAAACGGTAACGTAACATTAATGCGATGTAACATGCCTTGTACGTAGCAGTTACATTGTTGAGTGGAAAATTATAACATTAATGTTACGTTACTGTTACTTTGTATTTACTAAGTAGTTCCATATTTCAAAATAAGATTTAGCCTAATTTAAGACCAGAGCCCCAAGGACCAGCGGCCCAAGGAGCAGCGGCCCAAGGAGCAGCATGTGCAGCCGGAGCGGTCAATGTGATGGCAGCTGGAGCTGCATGTGCGGCCGGAACGGCTAATGTAATGGCAGCTGGAGCTGCATGTGAGAGGGCAGGTCGAATGGCTAAAGCGGGAGCTGTAACACAGTAATAGCATTATATGTAAGAAAACAATAAAACATACTTTTATAATATTTGTTAGTATTATATTATATTTTGTTGGTTATTATATTCCATGTTTTTAGTGACAAAAAATTATTATACTCTTAACAATGGGAGAGGCAGCAATAAGAGCAGGTTTCGCGATGATAGCCGCTGGTGCTGCAGCAAGCAAACCACCCAAGACGCCAACGTTGGCGATGGCCAAAAGGCACAAACAGACAGCCAAGACCTGCAAGATTTTTTAATATACAGAATAATTAATAATTGTCGGAACGTCAAATTTCTCGAATGTCGCTGTTTGCAAATTGAATAATTATTAACATTATTCGAATCTTAAAAGGCGCTTAATTCAATTTGCAATTACATGTCAACAACTTAATAGTTGACAGACAGTTCAGAGACAAAACCGATTTGATTTAATTTTAAACTTTTCGAGTTTTTTTACATAATTTTGGCTTTTTTAAATGTACAAATTTGTCTTGAAATAAAACATTCGATCTTATCGCTATCTTTTTTATACAATTATTATCACATAAATTATAAACAAATTTTTTTATATATGTTATCTAAAAATATAATTTTTTATAAACTAACTTTTCTCGTGTTGCTCGCGAAAAGAAACTCACCTTGTACATGGTGCTTGTACTAATATTCTTCTTTCTCGTTGAAGAACTAAGAGCAAATTGAACGCTCTATCTAAATCAAACAGCCTATTTATACGCATGTTGCGGCAAACCTGTCTAGTATACTTGGTGCATTTTTTTCCAAAAACTTGGTTGTATTGGTAGTATGTTTCTGTGCTAGCAATAATGTACTCACAGTAAAAGTCTTTATTGCATCACGTTGTACATAATATATTGCATCCTGTCGTGAATAAATTTTACACCATTAATTTATACCGTTTAGGAAAACATAAACAAAACATATTTCGTGTTTGATATTTTTTTTATTATTTGTTTAGCGAATACTTCGTAAATGAAGTTTCTTGATCTGTTCTATTGCACAAACCTATATTTGTTAAGTGTAGCTTAAAATTGACAATACGATAAGAAACATTATTTTCTTCCCCGAATTTCCGGAAGAGGATTAAAAATTCTTTCGATGATGACTCGCGGAGATATTTTTTTTTCATGATTATTAGTATTAATGTTCTTCGCGCGAACGTAATCAAAGAAAAAAACATCTCCAAATTATTATCAAAAACACTTTGTTATCTGTGACTCAATAGCGCATGTGATGACAATCAATCATTAACGAAATTCTTTGTGTAAAAATTTTAATTCTATTTTCAAAAGGAATTTTTATTCGATTTTAAATACTCGATTGTATATCTTATTTTCTATTGAATATATAAAAAAATTATATAAAAATACTTCAATACATGTGCTTCAAAAACATTTTGTTTGTGCAAAATAATTTATAAATATTAATAACAAAAATTATAATAATAATAAAATAATGATAAAAATTTAATAATTATTAAATTTTTTAAACAGATTATAATTTGTTTTATACCACAAGAGAGTTAACATGGAGAATAATATGGAGAAGAGATGATAATTAGAATGTTCATGCATTTGTTATTCGCAAATTGAAAAATGCATAGCATAAGATTTGAAAAATTGTTTTTATGTGTCGCATCTTAAATTTTGTACTAAATTAATACAATGTGTGACAAGTGTTTCGCACTTCACATTACGAATATTGCATCATAAAGCACAGTGAACCAGTCTATATCTACAATCTGATGCAAGTTGGAGTTACATTGCGCCGTTTTAATAAAACTATAATAAAGACAAGGCATGCACCTAGTTGCTCGACACATTAGTTGGTGCTTGCATCATGTCGGAAAAGCAGACGCATGAAAAATAGATCGCGGCACATACACACACACACACACACACACATATGTTATATCTTTTTTTTTAATAAATTCCTGATTAGTTTTAAAACTAAAACTATATACAATGGTACGTAAAAGTGTTTTTTCGCGCAAAAGTATAATTACAAATTCCCAGCGAGCAAGATCGCGTCTGGTTCCACGTGCGTTTCGAATTGGAGGATGTAACATCGGAAGTGTTCGAAAGTTTAGTTTGAAAAAAAAAAAACTAACGGAATATGTCTAGAACGTTTGACAAATGACTTTTATTTCTGATCGATCGATCAGAATGTTCGACGAACAATGACATCGCCCGCGGCCCGTGATTTTGCGCGAAAGAAAGTGAAATTCGCGCCCATAATTTTTGAGAGGGATAACTTGCGCAACTCCTGACCTTGCACAAGATACATTTGAACCATTGCTCTTGGAAAAGCAAAGTGCAAAAAAGTGAAGGTGACCTACATATGTGTGTAAGCGACATAATGAGGTTGGGCATTGAGAGAAGTGGACCACACCCTCTCATTAATTTTACGCGCGCAATTAAAACAAAAAAAAGTTCTTATCGATTTTTAGAGAATTTTTATGATATATATACGAAATAAATGAAGAATAAATTCCACAGTACATTTTATACAACTTGTGACAATCTTTATTGACACATCTTTTTACACAGTATAACTCTCGCGAGCTTAAATTGTTTAATTGTCTATACACATATTTATTTATTGTCTATACATATTGTATATACATATTATTATTTAATACGTATTTTATATGTACGTAATATCAACTGTGATATCATTTGTGTTGTGTGCAGTTCGTTACACACGCGCTAAGATAAGTTTCCCCAATTCTTACGTAACTCGTTTCTATCGCGTTTTCCGTGACAAGCAAGTAAAGTCAAACAAATTTTTACAAATTTTAAATTTATATAATATCAAACTATAATATCAAACCGTGGTAAAGAGTTTGTCGGTCAACGTGAACCGTGTGCCGAATGTACGTGCGCGAAATATACTTTTTTAATGTTTAAAATTATTACACATAATAAATTCGAATTGAATTCAATTCGAAAATTCATGCTCGTAGCAAAATTCTGCATCACATATATATATGTATGAATTACCCTATTTAACCCCTCTATGAATGAAGTCAAAAATGTGAAATCAAATTGATTCATTCGCAATGTATATATATACAACTATTAACGTATTAAATTGTTATTTAAGTCGTTATTCCATAAAACTTTGATTTTGTCTCTGAGACTCGCAAAAGACATTGAGACTCAGTCATATATGTCTTAAAAGATAGAATTATTTAGATCAGTTATATCCATTTTTTTTTTCACGTATTCTTTGGTGGTCTGTTGCCAAAAATCGCAGTTCCTACCCTCACGCTTGTACTTCCGAGTTCAATCTGAAATAGAAGATTGTTAAAATGTTTTATATGAAAAGTTTTTCTATATATGAAAAGAAACAAACAAAAAAAAAAAATCAATTGCGATTACAATACGCACCGCCTGTTCGTAGTCAGTAGACATTCCCATTGACAAGTCGACATTTTTCACGTCAAGTCCCAATTCCTCGCATACCATTTCTCTGCACTTTATCAAAGAAATAAAATCAGGATTCGGACCGTTCGCGCAATCATATCCGTACATTCCTATTGTCATGAGACCGATGAACTTCAAGTTAGGACAGCTGTCTATGATGTATTTTGCAAGAGCTGGCGCTTGTGCGGCATCACAACCATGTTTTTCTGCAAAATTGCAATTAATTTTTGTATACGTATTTATAGAACATTGAAATTTAGTCGAGAAAGATTATTGTTTTTTTTTTTTTTTTTCTAAAGTTTTCTCATCACACACTATATAATTTTGTTACCTTTCTCCTGACTCGTGTTAACTTGCACCATAACGTTCAACTGGCTGTCCTCGTTCCTTCGAAGTTTCGGCCACGAATTATTGAGTGCGTTCGCGAGCTTCTCATTGTCAACGGTCTCGATAACGTGCAAATTCGGCGCGGTCAGGATCTTGTTAACCTTGTTCCTCTGCAAATTGCCTATAAAGTGCCATTTGATATCTTCGCACTTTTCGAGAATCAGCGGATTCGTAGCCTTCTCCAGCAATTCGTTCACGTAGTTTTCACCGAAATGTCTCTGACCGGCCTCGTATGCGGCCACTATCGATTCCGACGAATGCAACTTGCCGACAGCCACCAGTTGCGGCTCGTAGTAACGATGATCCTGCAAAAAAAAATTATTTTTTATTTTATAGTAAATATTTTATATCAATTAAATTCTATACGTACATTGATATTTTATTTTACGCTTATGTATGTCGCGATATAAATAATAAAAAACAAAGTACCAGTGCTCTCCTCGCAGCAGCTTGCGATATCTTGTCGCGGATAGTTTTCAAATTTGCTGCTATTTCGACCATGGTGCGCTTTAATATCACTTTCATCAATCTTTTTGCTTCGTTATCGCTTCGGCACGTGACTGGAGCTCTTGTTACGAGTACTCGTTTTTATTTTCACATAATATTGTTATCTCGCGCATCTCTCTCTATCGATCTTATCTCGCGTGCTCCGTCATGAAGGTGTTAAAAGACTATAGTTAACAGTTCACGTCGCACACATTGTTTAAGTGTGTGTATCAACGACTCAACGATGAAAATGTTGGACGTAATTTAATTTGTTTTAAAACCGGATCAGCTCACACAGCTGATTCAGCTATCTTTTTCTCTCTCTCTCTCTCTCTCTCTTTTGAGAAGCGTACACGCACACGTTCCAGCGTTAATACGCGTCATGTGACTCAAGGAACGACCAATTGACTTCCCGCTTTCTCAGAATTCTCGGGAACGATTACGATCGTTACACAACGGAGGAAACGCGTCGACTTCTAGAAGATATCGAAAGTGACGCGAGAGCCAATCGTTTCGCAGCTCTTCCCACGAGAGCGAATCGCCGATTGATTCGCCGCGTTTGTTTCTGGTCACGTGTAACGCGCTGACGCATTCGGTGTGCGAGAGTCGTTAATCGCAGCGGACGACGATTGGTCGGCAGACTTTGTTGCGCAGAATGATCCGCGGGGTGTGCAGGAGTAAAATGAGATTTTTATCGGTCGGCCATTTGTGACTTACTAACATTCGTTCGGAGAGGTCTATTTTTGTCACTCGTGTTGTGTGGAGTCGATTGTTGTACATATAATTATGAAGACTGTTATTGTTAAAATTTCATCGCTACATCGACAAGGTAAGTAACGTAACGAGCAATTTTGTCAGAACTCTTCTGTTCTCTTCCGACGTATTCAAATAAATTTAATAAGACCTGTTTCTCTCTCTCTTTCTGACTCTGTTTCTAAGCGTGTATTTGCGAAATTGCAGATCGACCGAACGGTAACTTAATGATTTGAATCCTAGAGGCTGCACTAATCTTGTATTATACAATTGCACAATAACATACGCATATATTGTATCAGTCACACACAAAATTAGTATTATGGATAACAAAGTATTCAGTTTTGGCATGTCAATTTGCGAGTCTCTATATCATTAACATAAAGAAGAAATACGTGTTGAGCTTGCCGTGTTTTTCGCGAAATTTGTATAATAAAAAAATATAAAAAAAAAAAAAAAGAAAAAAAAGATGGGCACTTCGAGACAGGAGGACAGATCACTCGGCAGTGGAATCTCGCTGCCCCAATGGATGAAAGGAAAAATAGATAATAGGTAAGTTTCATTGTCAAACATTCCTTGATGATTAATGTACATATCTCTTTTTCATCAAATATCTCACGCAATCGCATTAGTACAGCAATGTTTATTTATTGTAAAAATAAGTGTTATCATATTATGTTCTATTATATATGTCCAGTTGATCATTTGCCAAATCAGCACACACATGTACACACACGCACACATACATAAGTGTGTGTTGTATATAACAAAAATGTAACCTAGAATGAAATTAATTAATTTAGTTACATTGCATTATATAGCATGTCACACATTGGAGCACTGAAGTTGTAATAATTCAAGTACATTCCAACATGAAATACACAGTATTACATTTTTGTTTTTTTTACCTAATATAAGTTTGTTTATTACCTTTTTAGATTTGACTTTGATGAAGCCGCATTCAGCCCACCATCTTATGATGACAGTTTCTTTTATATAAGGTACCTGAAATGACACAAATATAAATACATGTACAATAAAATAAAAGCTGTGAAATATACATAGCTTTTTAGAAGTTAAATGTTTAAACAAATCAAGTGTTGATACATAATACATGATAAGGTGCACATTTATGGATTTTTAATTCGAATTAACTTCAAATTTAATTCAAATTTAATTCAAATTCAAATTTGTAGTCAATATTGCGCATACCTGCAATCAGCACTTGGTTTTTATTTTTCATATTGTTGTGCGTATTTATTTGAAGATTAACTTCTCTCCTGAAAGCGTATATATATTTTTATTTATACTTGTGTCAGTTTAACTTTGTGCTGAAAATGCGTTGCATAATACTTTCTATTGAACTGGCTGAGAAAAAATGTGTTAACACTGTGCTTTCTTTTGAATATTGCGAAGTTTATCACTAAATGCCACATGGTAGTTGAATGAAGTCGTCTATTCAGAGGATAAAGAGCTTCAGGTTCAACTCCTGTGCAGTTATTTTTCGCAATGACTGCTTTGATTGAATCATTAGAAGGATTGGGATTTTTATATAATATTGTATCTGTTCGAAGATATCCGAAAACACAAAACTCGGAAGCGCCTCAAGAAGGATTGAAGCGCATGGTAAACGATGTTCTGAAGGAGAACAATATCAAGAGTTCGTCAAGTCAAACCATAACAAGTGAAACTTCTATTTCCAACTTGAACCAAGCGAAGACTATTGATTTTAGCAAACATCCATTGCCATGCCAACCTTTTATACCAGCTGCAAAACGTATGTTTAAATACATTGTATAAAATATACAATATATATTTTTTAATATATTCTCGTCTGATAAATATATATTTACAAATGTATTTATAATATACATATCTAATATTGGTTACTACTAAACATTTTTTTCAGCTGAAGAAAGTAAAATTCAAAAAACTCCAGGAAATATAAAGCTTAAATCGCAGGGAACCGACGACGGTTTTCATGGTGAACCGGCTCTCTGCGGCAAGTCAATTGTTCATGTGGCCAATCAAATGATGTCCGGTAAACTTACTAAGTTATTTACGTCAGAATCACGCTCCCAGCAAGCCGAGACTTCGCTAAAAAGTGTCAGTAAGTCATTGCCGGCGACACCGTTGACATCACCGACAGGAACTCCGGACAGTTCACCGAAAGCACGCAGGAAGGTACATGCCAACAGATACTTTACAGGCGCATTCATACCGGATAAGGAGAAGTACCAGGGTAATTGGATTTTGTCGAGCATACTGGGCCAATCCAGGGAAGTAATTACAGCAAAGATCGAGGAGGAGGACGAACACATTACAGATTGGGAACCGCGCAAGCCGCTCAGTCGGAAGAAATCAATATCATCGCAAAATCTCACGTACATAGGAAAGGAAGAAAAATCTGTGGATAAGACGCCTATTTATTTAAACGTGCTCGAAGCCAAACCGTCGGAATTAAGAGAGATGAATTTTTGGTCACCAACTTCCATGTAAAAGTTTATTACACGATATAATTTTTTTTTATTTTCATTTTTTTTTTTTTTTGGTTGATTTTTATCTGCGTAAGTAATTAATCACACGTGCTTTCACTCCAAAGCATATTTAGATTGTTTAGATGAATTTAAGCTTCTATATCTTATTAACGTTGTAGAAATTTAGTATAATTGTATAACTAACTCTCTATCAGGAAGCAAACATTCTTTGATTGATCTATACGACGATTATTACCTATTATATGTATTTTGCGCATATTATACGATCAGTCTCGTTTCCTTGTATATCGCACTTGTATTATGGCATTCTCAGAAATGCGGAGACGTGTGACACTTCACGAAATTTTTAAGGGCGTACTTTTGTCACGTAATAAAAATTTTTTATATCATGTAATACAAACTTGCAATAAAATTCAACGATTTATGCGAGAAAAAAAAATTGATACAAAGCGATTGTACACTGTGAATTTATATTGACTATATCCGAGATCATTTATATATGTGTCTTGAGAGAAATTCTCTTGTTCTCTAAATCTATCAAAGATCTTGTTATCTCTAATGTGCAGACGAGTTACAGATATATACACCTACTGTAAACTCCGATTTGATTTTTATCTCACAATAAAGAAACAAAAATGTGTAATAAAAACAAAACACTTTTGAAAAGAAGTGAATTTTAATTTCTTTTTGTCCGCTGTGTTAAAAAATAACATAGTTTTCGAGAGCGTCAGCTTCCAAACTCTCTTTTGCGAATTCGTTCTCTCATTCCACACTTTCCACTCTCTTCAACATATAAATCTTTAAATTTAAGATAAAAACTTCGACACTCCTTTATTGGGCACAAAGAAGTAAATTTATTAGACATGCGTAAGTATATAAAACACTTACATAAAACTTGCATCTTTCTTGTGAAAAAGCGTGATAATTACATTGAATAATTTGTTTACGTAAATAAAATCGACGACTGAAGTTTCGAAGAAAGAAGATTTTTAAACTTTTCGTTTTACAAATGTTTGTTTTTTTTTTCTTTTTTTTTTTTTGGTTACAGCTGTTAATTTTAATCGCTTTTCCCGTCATTTCTCGTTTTCACAAACAATTCCGATTCGTCCCACGACTTGATGCGAAGCTCCGGTTCGAGAACTGACCAATTCGGCGAATGTTTCTCGCTGGACAGCCAATTGAAGTCATCGATGCAATTCCAATTGTTAACTTTGGGATCGAGGCCGGCTAGATTAAAATGACTCGTCTGATCCTCGTACGACCAGTTGTAAGGTGCTACGCGTATCTTTGTACAATCCTCTATAATAGCTCTACTTGTAACATGCAAATAAATGATACAGTCTATCGACGAGTGTAGTCGCAGCTGCTGGCACGCGAAAGCGAACACGCATTCGCTGCAATCGTGCGCAAAAACCGAGGTCGTAACCGGTCCGACCAATATGGTGCACTGCTTCAGATTTACCATGTGGATCGTGCTGGGCGTACCGTATATTCGCACGGTACATTGAACCAGATCGGAGAGCAGAATGTCATTCTTATTTACATTCTCGGCGTCCAGCACTATTTGCTCGTTCGTTTTGCTCAGGAGCATGCAGGTGCTGTCTCCGTACTTGATCGACCACTTGTTGTTCTGTTTGGCCGAGCCGTTCACGATGCCTTCCGATATCTTGAGATCCTTCAAACCGTCCGTAACGTCGTGCCCCTTGTCGGACGATTTTTTCGCGATTCTGCGACTCTTGAATCCGAACTTCTTCTTGGGCAAAAGTTTAGTTTCTAATTCAGAAGCTTCGATCTCCAACGACTGTAAGTTTTCCTGTGCGCGTCTTATATCGTAAACCTTCAAAAACATCTTGGATTGTGACAAGTAGTTTTTAAGCAACAGAATTTCTTTGTTGACCTTGTCGAAGATTCCAGGTTGAGCCGAGATCGGAGCGCTAGGTGCGTCGTCCAGCATATCCTTGATCTTCTTGCAGGAGGAATAAAACGTGTCCTTAAAGTAACTGCTCTGTTCGGATTCAACGGTAAGCGATTGTCGTTCCTCTCTCCGCCTCTCGATCACATTTTTTCGCTCGCGATCTCTCTTTGTGATGCGATCTGACAAACTTCCCTCTATAAAATCCGTAGAGTCCATTTTTAGACTATAAATGCTATTTTCCACTAGTGTTTTTCTGAAGCTTGTATATCTCAGAATGAATATCGTTTGATTCTTTCAACTCCTCAGGCTTTTTTTTGTATAGTTTGAAAAGATTCTGTGGTTCATTTGAACGAATATGCTAAAACAAATTCAATTACACACACAAGTTAAAAACATTTCTAATCAATTTTGTTAATTAGACATTCGATTTTCCAGATAAGGTAAAACATGAAATTTATATGTAAATAATAATATACATATATTTACATAATTTATAATAAGAAATAGTATACTAAATTATTTTCACGCCTACATATTGTTAAAAACTGTTTGTTTATGAGAAAATATATAAAGAGGATTCGCCTGTAATTAATAGAATCGCTATAATAATTGATACATAAAAGACAAAAACATCAATTATGTAATTCCACAAATTGTCTCGGTGATTACGTAATTCCAAAATTCAATTCGATTACCTTTGCAATTTCTGACTCGTCGGGTGAAACGTAACAAAGCAGACCATATCCTATGCCTCCGCCAAGAATTACCGATGCCACTGTTGTTATTATAAACTTCGCCATGAAAATTTACTGTTCATTGCTGTATAGATTCCAAGTTTTATAATCAAATTCTCTCAACTGTTTGTTACCAGACGCCGTTTCTCCAACAGAGTAATAACACTCTAATATCGTCGGACAATGTAGATGCAAATAATATCTGAAATCTACACACACATATTGAAATTGAAGAACTTCGAGACGCCAATATCTAATTTTAATCGCACCGGAACGAGGAGTGACATTGAGCAAAAAATTTTTTCTCGCCCCACAGATTTTTTATGCGTCCTATTGACGCAACTTCACGTGGAAAACTCTAACGTCAAATATAAATGTTCATATCGCGCTACCATGCTCTTCTAATCGCGAAATGGAATTTTTCCTTCATTCTCGTATCCTTTCTCGCTCTATTCTTCGATACTTTTGTATCAATTGTCTCGTACACACGCTCGTCTCGGATTTTAATTGCAAACGGTTTAACAATTAGACGAATTTCGAATTGCTCGATAATTACGAAGAATCGGATGTGATATTCGCAAAACGAAGAGTAACCTAGAAACAACGGATCCCGATGTGATGAGCAATTTACCTTGCGAGTGGTTCATACGACGCCAGAACAAGTACGATCCAACAACAACTACGCCTTCGATTATAACAATCGTCTTGACACTTTTTTTGAGCGATCCGACGAAAATTTCCCACCTGGTTTTCGGACGCTTCGCGATCATAATAGGAGAAACGAAACGATTTCCTAAAATGGAAATCGTCAATACCGCAAGATACTGGATAACATCGCGACCAATCGCGACCAAATGCCGACGAGAGAAGGAGAAGAGGGAGACAAATTTTCAAATAAGATGACACTACTGTCGCCTTAAGTCAAAGATCCAGAGGAACGTGCGTGTGAGGACAGCTTGAATATATGTTAACCAATCAGACGCACAGACTGGTCAACAATATCTTTGTTCCTGTTCTTTGATGTGACACGAAGCTTCAAACCGAATGAACTCGCTGCTGTTGCGCGCATCCCTTCCACCGCTTCAGCGTGTTGTAAGAGAACGAAAACTGTGTCTCTCTCTGATGTTCAAGGTTACATAGGTGTGATGTGAGGTGAGGTAGGCCTAACTTTGTACCACGTGGGACCGTTTGCCGGTTTTGCAGTAAATTGGAGGAACACGCGTACCATTTTTTGAGAGATTACAAATTGGCAAAAAATGTCAAAACAGCTAACGGACCGAATTTTAGAATATTTGGCCAATCACGGCGAAACGAATTCGTTGGATTTGGCGGACGAATTTCAGGACGATCATCAAAAGGTCATAGGTGCTATCAAAAGTCTGGAAACAATAGATGATGTAAGCCGAATTGTAATTACGAAAGTTACTTAATTGACGTGTATTCGCACAATTGTACTCTCAAGTCTTTCCTGTTGGGAAACACAGCAATATATCACGTAGATAAAATTTTACATAGTGAAATATTTATAAATGTATTCACATATGTGTTGAAATATTTATATACATATGTCGATGTAACGTTAAATTAAACAAAAATTTTGTATTTCTGACAGTTGATCACGGTAAAACCGATCTCTAAAAAGGAGTGGGAAACTACTGCTGAGGGACAACATATAATAGAACACGGCAGCCACGAAGCGGTTGTTTATAATATCATTCCTGACGAAGGAATGTCTCAGGCAGATCTCATGAAATCCAGTCCTTATGCTAAAGTAGGTTTTTCCAAGGCACTGGCCGCGGGATGGATCGAAATTGACAAGAGCAAAGGTGCTCCCATTGTGAGAAAGAAAGTACCGTCCATTGTAGATGTTATACAAACGCATTTGAAAGATCTGACGCAAATTCCGGACAATGTTAAAGCAGAATATAAAAAGAGGAAGCTTCTGCAGGAAGTGTAAGTCTTGCAATTGGCAATAAGTTTATAACAATTATATGTGTTTCTTTATTTTTATATTTGTTCTCCGATGTGTTAGGATAATTAAAATAATGCATTTGGAGAAGGGACCTAATTTTTCTACCAAATTAGAAAAGTTAGAAGCTGACTTGACATCAGATTTACTGACAAATAATGCTTGGAAGAGTAAGAAGTTCAAACCATATAATTTTGATGCTCTGGGAGCATCGCTGCAGATAGGACATTTACATACATTGTTGAAAGTTCGTCATGAATTCAGAAAAATCTTCTTAGAAATGGGGTAAATATTCAAGTTCTTGATCGGAATTTTATACTTCAAGATTTTCTCTTCATCCGCGCTGATGTGACTGTTGTACAAAAACTATCGTTTCTCTTTTAGATTCACGGAAATGCCGACGAACAATTATGTAGAAAGTTCCTTTTGGAATTTCGACGCTCTCTTCCAACCGCAGCAGCATCCAGCGCGCGATGCTCATGACACCTTCTTTATCTCTGGTAGGTTTCAGATAATTAAAAAGTACTTAGAATGAGAAATATGCAGAAATAATATTCGACAGCACAGCTGAGACGATTTTGTGTATTTTAGAACCAAGCAATAGTACGAAATTCCCCATGGAATATCTCGAAAAGGTGAAAGATGTTCACAGCAAAGGAGGTTATGGCTCTCTAGGCTACAGGTACGATTGGAAGTTGCAGGAGGCGCAAAAAAATTTGTTGCGCACTCACACGACAGCTTCCAGCGCACGGATGCTGTACGCGCTTATGCAGGAGGTATAGAGAAGAACGAATACTTCTATTTTTAATTTTCCATCAAAATCCGATAAATCACAAAAAATCAAAAACTTCTTGCAGGGAGAGTTTAGGCCAGTAAAATATTTCAGTATTGACAGAGTATTTCGCAACGAGACCTTAGACGCGACGCATCTCGCCGAATTTCATCAAGTCGAGGGTGTTATTGCCGATTATGGGCTTACGCTGGGCGATCTTATAGGCACTTTATACGAATTTTTCAAGAAGCTCGGCATCACTCGGCTTAAGTTCAAACCCGCATACAATCCATACACCGAGCCGAGTATGGAAATATTCTGCTATCATAACGGCTTGGAAAAATGGATTGAAATCGGCAACAGTGGTATGTTCAGACCGGAAATGATACTACCAATGAATCTACCTCCTGATGTGCGTGTTATCGCATGGGGCTTGTCCTTAGAAAGGTAAAGTATACATGATAACTTTTGCATTGTTTGATGTTGCGATTTACAAATGTAATGTATTTCATTCACAGACCGACAATGATCAAATATGGTTTGAACAATATACGCGATCTTGTTGGATCGAAGGTGGACTTGGAGATGATTCATAGGAATCCAATATGTCGATTAGACAAGTAAATATCATTATAAGGTATTTTTTAAGGTATTTATGTCACAATTTATCCTTTTCGGTAAAATATTAAATAAGTATTGAAGATTCATTTTTAGTTTGCAAAGCCAATTCTGATTCAATGACATTAAATATGATCGTAGGAAAATCTTGTTGAGATACTCGCGCTCACACGCGCGTGATCTGTAAATCTTATTGTTTCTTTCTTTTTATTGAAACAGAATTAGTCGACGAATGAACCAGTGGAAAACGCAAGAAGAAGAAAAGTCGATTGTCAAAACTCGGCAAACGGCCGAGCAATCTCCGGAGTCAAAATTGTCCAAGCAAACTCCCGTGATCTTTTGTGATCCAAATTATCCGATTTATTTCATTGAATCTTTCTTTCGTTTCACAAAATCGCATCTTAATGTTTCTGTTTCGACACACGTACATTCTACAGTAACGAACCTTCCTAATGAGCTTTCTGAGTTTTGTTCGGATTTCCTCAACGTAAATGCAAATCCAGACATATCGTTAACTTTAATTTGGAAATCCGTTGGCATCGATCCTATCATGATACTGCAAGGGATGCACGAAATTCACGGAGTGGTCAACATAGCGCGGTATTTCAATCGGTTAATCGAATTAATTAACAAAGACGTATTGAAATACGAGCAAGTCGATCCACTCTACGCTAACAAAATAGACGCTTGTTTAGATCAAATTCATTGCGCTTTGCACGCTGTGAGTAATAACGCGTCGTTGAACATTTGCAAGAAATCTCATTACGTGATGGGCGATGACATTTCTATAGTCGATCTCATAATCGAGTCAATCGACAAATATAAACGAAAAAAAATGTAATTTATTTAATTTATGTTAAAAATTTTATTTATTTTGTAAGCGTAACAATAAATTTTGCGCGTATAACTGTCTTGTTCCTTTACCAATGTACGAGAATGTAAAACTATGAATTTATATATGTGTGTACATATATAAATATAATAAATTATTACATTTTTTTTTTATTCGTTTAGCATTTTTTTTCTTTTAATGAGAATTATATGTATGTATGCGTAGGAAATTTTTACTGAATACCTCTCTGTGTCTTTTATGACTTTTATATATAATTTTATTGATGGTACTGCGCGGAATACAGTATAAAAGTCTATTACAGCGTGATTGATAGTGACATAATAAGTAAAACCCGAAAGATATCAAATACACGCTGCACAAATATCGAGATGTGCAAAACAGCCTCAAACAGTGGTGGCCTTTTGACAACGCTTTAATCAAATATCAACAAATTTTTTTCGAATGCGAAATATACGAAATTCACAAATCACACAGTCTAAGATTTATCAAATATATATAATAGGTATATCAAAAATATGAGGCTCGCAAATCAAATTTTCCTGGAGAAATGATACTTAAAACTTGGTCACGGTGTAGATAAAAAAAAAAAAAAAAAAAATATTGCAGCACACACATACATTGTACACAAGACCAATCGATGAACCGTCTGTATCTCGCGTGATACACTAAGAATTAAAAACTTACATCTAATATATTTCAATTTTTAATTAATACACAAATTAGTTCATTAAGAATACTTATTACATACGCTTATGTCTTACAAAAAAACTTAAATCGCTCATAAATAAATACGTAGAAATATCATATAACGCAATATTCTGAGTTCAATTGAATAATTTAAATATATGATGATATGTGTGTGTGTGTGTGTGTGTGTAATAATTTACATGTAATCTCCAAAGTTCGTCCAAGTGAAGCAAGCGTAATTCGGGCGTTTGTGGAAAAAGTTTCGGTGGAATGTAATTATTCTAATATTGCTAATATCCAAGAAAAAATAGGCAGCCACTGTTATTTTTTTTTTGCACGTGATTATTTAGCTCACGGGCGAGGTGCGTGTACTGTCGGTACAAATCTGATTCAGAACATGTTCGATACATACATACAGCTACATCAAATTTTTTTTTTTTTTTTTACATTTTTGGATAGTGTACATAAATGCGTTTCTAGATATTCGTCTGGAATCTATAAATAGATATGTGTTATGAGACTCCGTTGATTATCCGAGAGTGTTGAAATAATTTATTTCTCGAACTGACATGTGCAACATTGTTCTTTTTTTTCTGGAGAAAATTGACGCAACCTTATGCGTTCGCTTGAATTTTAACGTACACATATTTCACTTAGTCGAAAAGAGATAATCGTGCAAACACACATACATTTATACTTGTGTCTCGTAATTTTCGCGATAAAATAACTCTTTCGTAAAGAGTTGCGTAAGTAAAAGATTTTTTGTGTATATATATATATATATATATATATATACGTGTATAAAATATAAAAATCACGCGTGTGTGCTATTCTTACATAATTTTCTTACGAAACCATATAACGCTCGTTACCATTAGGTCGCTTCGTTGCCAAATACAATTATATTTAGAATATAATTGTTCGAACAATACCGTTACGGCTATTCTAGGCGCGATATTTGAGAATTTCATTGACATTCAATCATCAAAGAGCAGTTCGGATCGGGCGTCGATTTTCTCGCTTCCAACGTTTATCCGTTTCAGATAACCGAGTTACTCAGAGCAGATGATCTTAAATTAATGGAAATTAATTACGTAAAAACTGACCTATCTACGAAATAAAATAACATACAGATTTCTTACGTGTGTGTAAACGCTACTTTTTATCACATATTAGTGAAAATAAATTACTTAACAACACATTGAGTAATATTTTCATGGTAGTCTTAAAAGATTATACAAATACAGAGGAATATCAAGTTTACTTCATTATCTGTCATTTCTGGGACACGAATCGCGTTTACGGAAGAGAGGCGCGCAGAAAAAGATCTATCAAAGGTTTACGCGTAATCAGAATTAATTTTTATTGTATTAATAAAATTTTTATCACTTTAGTAAATATGTATAGATAAAATACGTTTATATACCGTATTTGCGTATAAAAATTACCAAATCTGGCAGTTTCAATCTGAATGAGATAAAAAAAGTCTCTCTCTCTAAGGAGGATTTATTTTTTATATATGCTTCTCGATAGTTGGTTGCAGCCATTTTGGATTATGACGTCAGAAAATCGTAAGAGAAGAGAAAAACATAATAATAGCCGGTTATTCATAGTTGAATTTTATATTTAAGATTGTCTTAAGTTTATTCATCAATGTCATGCAACCAATGAAAACGACTCATACACTATCCGATGATAAAATTAAGATTATCTTATAGATATAAAATCTCCCACTATTTTAATACCGATCAAAATGTGTTCCGATTACACACGAAATTACAGTTTTTATTGTTAAAATGGTACTGAGGTATTATTGGTACAAACTTCTTGTGTAAAGGCATTTTGGTCACTGCCTACAACATCAAAAAACACACAAGAGTGTTTTTTGTACAAATTCACTATAATATAGTTCTTCCGCTTCTCATAATCCAAAATGACCCAAGCAGGCATTGAGAAATCTCAATTGGATAGATAACTAGATCTCGTGTATATTTGTGATTCAGTCTGCAGTTCTCCCATCGCGAGCTAGGTTTTCTAAACTAAGTTACGTATTTACACACTGAGAGAGAAAAACCGTCGAATCAAGAAAATCTTATTTATTAATCCAACCGCAGCAGTTAAAGGTTATCGAAACCAAATATGTTTGTTTTAATTCCAATCTAAAAAAGAAATATATTTAAATTCCTCTTTAAGATTAAAAAAAAAGACAAAAAAATAAAAAACAAATGTTTCAAATAACATTCAATTGGCTGCAAACTGAACACATTTTGTTGATGTCGCAGTAATTTTTTCTCAGTGCAAAATATTACTAATAAATTTGTTATAAGAAATCTCAATTTAAAAAAAAAAAAAAAAAGGCTTTATCCATCTGAGAGTTTGCTTCCACAAACGCGACGCCCATGCACGTGTTGTCCCTCTTCTTCGGAGATCGTTTAGATTTAAAACTATGATTTTTACGTAACACACGCGTCGAAAACGCCGTTGTGTAAAAAGATATCGAAATTCGTTCCCACTCGAGATAGTAATACATGTACGTCGATAACTTACTAGCTAACAGATGTAACATTATTACGAAATGATTTACGTATCTTCGCGTTTATCTCACGTTTTTCAAGCTTGATACGAAGAACGAAGCGTGTCGTTTGTTATTGTTTTTTTATTGTTTCTTTAACGTTCGTAACTCGTTAAAAAACTTTTTTAAACAACACTCTGTTCTGATTCTTCGTGTTCGAATTTGACAAACCTTCGAAAACGCGAGATATCTTCTTACTCTTTTCGCACCCGTTTACATATTCACATCTTACAAGAATATATATATGTGTATAATAGTAGATATTAATATATGTACGCGCCGTTGTAACACGCTTTCTCTCTCTTTGTCGATTCTTTTCTCTCCTATAAGCTACGTCTCTTCGCGTAGTTGTCTACACAACACCTACGTCACTCTTCTGCCTTTACGCAATATATTACAAATTTGATTCACATTTATACACATACATAATAATCCGCGTGCCTTATATGATCGAGCGCACGCTTTTATCTCGGAGAAGGAGAGGGAGGTCACGGATGATAATAAAGAACAACATTTATTTTCCATTGCTCGCGCTACTTTGTAAAATATTGTTATTCCTTATCATCGAGAACGAATTCAAACTTTGTTAGCACATTACGCGATTATCTACATAAATGTCTTTCTTTCTTTCTTCTTTTCTTTCTTTCTATCACTATTTTATATTTTGGCGTTTACATTAATTAATTGTCATGATTTGACAGGTACTACTTTATACGTCGCACCACAAAGGCATAATTTATATCTTTGTTTGTTAATTCCCGCGTTCATCTCATCGCTCATTACATCGATCTATTTAAGTAGTCACATCTGTATAATCAATTTCGCTCGTTTCCGAAAAGCCAACGGATAACGCGCGCGCGTTAATGCCGGAAAATGAACTTTCTAGATTCTGGTGCGCAATAACGCGAGAATCTACAATTTAATCGACCCGGCCGTACTTGGGTACGATATTCTTCTCTATCCAGAAATCGCAGTTAGGATAATCCTGCTCGAGCAGCGTGTCTTGACCTACGACCAGAACTCGCTTTGCGCCTGTCGGATCGGCCTGTGGAACGTCACCATGCCACACGTAATAGTTGAACAACTGTTGCATGGCCGACACGTGTCTCTTCTCTTCGGGCATGACAGCGGAGTAGGTTCCTAAAATGGCCGCGGCGTCGCTATCCGGATCGGCCAAGTGCCGACGCGTTTGAGTTGCTACGTAAAATGGTATATTGGTCCTCATCCTGGCGACCGTCAGCAATGGGCACACCACGCGAATGTCGGAGATCATCGTGACCAGTCCCTTCAACGTGGCGTTGTAACGTCTAGAAAACGGCACGCAAAGTGGCAATGTCAAACAGCAATGTTTATCGCATCGTAAGAGAGAAATATAAGAACATGTGATTGTTTTGAGTCACTACTCTGTTGTAATATTCCGAATACTTACTGAAGAGCGTCTTCCGCTAGACCCGAAGTTCCAAGCAAGGAGTCTCGTACGATAATTTCAACTTGCGTCGAGTTAAGCGTTACGTTCGGCGACAGATACTGCGATGGTGTGCCGGAGTGTGCAGTGGTGCCTATCACTATCTTTATTGATAACTCCTCCCGCGCCAGAATGTGACCGACGTGTTCCTGGAGAATTACGCCGTCCAGAACGAGCCATTCGTGTTTCTTTTTACCATGTCCGGATTCCCTCGACTCCGGCAGGCCTGTGCTACCAGTGTACCAAGTTTCCGGTACCGCGTCCATGAGTTCCTCGGCGGTTTTGTATCTTAGACAAGCAGCATCTTGGCATCGGATCGAATCGAGAAACTCTTGGTTCAGCGGCTCGGATTGGCGAAGCTCCTTGCCGGGAAAGATCGCGCTACCACTGGAAATCCACACCTTCGAGAAGAGATTCTTGACACGACGCGAACCGATCAGTGTTGTTACGAGAGTGCCGCCCGCTCGATGTCCCCACAAAGTTACGGACGATTTGTTGCCGCCGAAGTTATCAATGTTCAACTGCACCCATTGGAGAGCTGTTATTATGTCCGACAGTCCGTAGTTACCCGATGTCGGAGGATGAGTCGCTCTGGTAAGAGGTTCGGCCGCCAAAAATCCGAAAAGTCCCAATCTGATGTGAACAAAAATAAACGAAATTAATCAATTGAAAATGAATCGTTAGCCGAGAAAAGAAGATTTAAACACGTCGAGATGCTATAGATTCAACATATCCTACCGGAAGTTCGGGCGCACGAACACGATGTCGCGAACGCGCGCCAGTTTAGCCGAGGGTTGCATCACTCCGGGCGAACCGCCACTCAGCGTCTCGGCGCCAATCATGACCACTACGGGCAACGGAGAGTCATATCGAACCGCCGGGGTGAACACATCGAGATAAAGACAATCCTCGACGCCGTCTACGCGTCCGGATGCGTCACGTTGCCAGCAGTTGTTGGAGGAATTGTGCGACTGGTAAGTTCCGTTCCAGCAATGCTCGATTCGATTCAGAGGCTGAGCCGGTTGCCAGCGACGATTGTTAACCGGCGGTACCGCGTACGGAATACCACGGAACGCGTAGCCACCGTCCTCCAGGACACCCTGCACCAGACCGCACGACGTGACAGCGTCGATGTACTTGTCGTTCTTCAGAGATTGAGCGGGGACCTTTCTCGGTCCGGCGCAGGCGATACATACGATGATGATGACGATGAGAAGAATCAAAGCGGTCGCTGCTGTTGATATAAAAAATATTCTCGTGAAAATTGGATTATTTTAAAATCGCGTTAGTGTCAATTTTATATCGACGTTATACTCTTTTATGTCGTATCAAGTTGCTCTCGAATCCTAATGAAGTGAACTGCAATGTCCACGAAACGTCGGTATAAAAAAATATAACGACATTAAAAATATATCAACAACTGTAAAAACCGATTACTATAAAACCATACCAACGCAATTCTAATTTGAAAATCATGAATTCTTATAAGACACCACGAAAGCATCAAATATAAAAAAAATAAATTAAAAAAATATTCTATTAAAATCATCTTTTTTTTTATCCGCGCGCTTGAACCACTGACATTATAACATTGAGATATGCGGATATGAGATAGACAATAATGTGAATAAATGCGGTTTACGGACCTGAGATGATCGCGTGTTTTCTGATCGCAGTTGCGCACATTACTATGAAATGTCTAGAGGGAGGTCTCGACGATTTCATGTCTCCGAAAGACAAGGTCGCGTCGTCCGCGTCGAGTCGCACGGTTTCCATATTGTCTTCGTTGGCGATAGGATTCTTCTCGCCGTCGTCGAGCGTCTCAACGCTCGCCAACCCCGCGGTACCGGTCTGTCCCAATTCAGCGTCAGCTTCCTAAAAAAGAAACGATTAAAAAAAAAAGTGAATTATTATTAGAATTATTGTTAGAATTAGATATATATATCATTTCCCATCTCTCAAACGGTCAAATTGTAATATGGCTCCTCACCCATTTAATTATATTTCATGTAATCACGTAAGTGTGAAAAAATGTTTTCCAGATGGAAAGCTACAATAATATGTTGTGCGAAAAAGGTGATTAGAGCGAAACGTGACACGCCGGAGATGGGAGAGCAGCAAAAAACAAAAAGGAGAGATAGAGTCGGCTCTCTCGCACAGGTATAATTTACATCCGGAATAAAGTACCGCATGCATACCTAGGCGCATTCTAGGCACGTATCGCAATCCATTTGAATTGCAATTATTTCGGTACGTCGACTATAAATATTTTAAGTTTTCAATGATCGCACAATTATTGACCATTAAACGTTTTACAAACCCTTTACCGCGCTCGCCTCATCTCGTTTCACAAGCGTTTTCTGTTCTTTTGTTAGAAACGCGCAAAGAAACAAAAACGCTCACTTGCGAATCGTGAGCGCGTGCAAAATCGACATCGTAACTAAACAATAATCACCTGTTCTGTACACACGAAGTGTCGGAGTCTCAACAATGATCTAGATCGCAAAAGGAACAATAAAAGCGGTTGAGTTTACTTTTCACGTTTTTTTTTTGTTTTTTTGTTTTTTCGGTTTTTATCGTCGGACCGTTGCTCTATCAAGAGCATTACGCAGCAGTGCGAAACTGAAGTCTCGTAATTTCGCGTTGCAAGTCACGACTGAACCAGAAGAGAAATCGGTNAAAAAAAAAAAAAAAAACAACGGAAGAGAAGATAAAAGAAATGGAACAAACAGACGATAAAAAGACAAATAGAATGTGTAGGACCGAGAGAGTTGTGAGTGTCGAAGAAGATTTTTGAAGAGACACGAATTGTGTCGAATAAATGACTTTCGAATTATCGGAATTATCATTTGATGAATTATATCATTTACGCGCTTTAAACATCTTTCGAACGATTTTTCTTTCTGTTTCGCGCGACGAGTGAAAGAAAACTAATTAAAAAAAAAAAAAAAACGATTTTTTCTCTCGTCGTCGTTTGTTATTCCGTTACTCGGAGCGCGGCAATGAGAAAAAGAAAACGGTGAAATCGCGTCTAAGCGGATTGCATATCCCCTCGCGATTCAGATCTACATTTTAATGTCAAGTTTCTCGCTCGGTTGTTTTATAATACGTAGAAAAGAGGACGGGATTGACAATTTAATTTAATTGCAATTACACATACTTTAGCTCCAATTACACTTGGTCGACGCGATATTTTTTTTTTTGCGCGTTTTAGCGGAGAAAAGTGATACAAAACATTGTGTGACGAAATACGAGATCTCATTTTCTCCGAAGACGGACACACTTCTGATTACATCTCGAAGATTGCTTGTTGATTTACCATCTTCGAGATGTAATCAGAAGTGTGTGAATGTGTATAATCGACACGACGAGCGCGTAATTACCTTTTTCTTCTTAGAAAAAACAGAGGGAACAAAAGGTAACCGAATAGCGTTCAAAAATCCGTTTCGTCCTTCCTTCTCCTTGGAATCCTTGGCGGGCGTGACGGGTTTTTCCGTGGACGAAGCGTTTTGTTCATTTTCCTTTGTCACCACGGGGGCTGATTCTGCGTCCGTAGTTTCGGTCGGTTTTGTCTCATCATCCTGAAACAAAGTCGGATTACGTACGTGTAATTACGTATTATCTCTGAAAGAGCGACTCGGAAAATTCAATTTCTCTTCAATCGGTCGTAATACAATTGTTTTGTTATACACAAAGCACTGATCTTCAGTTTTTGTTTGTCAGCCGCTTCTCTTTACGGAACCTCCTGCGAAGAGAAAGAGAGAGAGAAAACGCTGACGCGCGGAGAAACCGCGTGGATGAAGGGAAATCATCGGTTTTCTTTTTTTTTTCTTTTTAACTGTATACTCTCCGCGCATTTCGCGCTCAAAACCGGCACAGATGATCCGATGTGCGTTTATCTCTTGGAAATAAAAATAATTAAAAAAAAAAAAAAAAAAAGATAAGAAAAACTGCAAAGATAGATAAGATTATCCGTAAAAAAAACGGCGCTTTGAAAACGCTGCTGTGCGACACACGTCTCTCTTCGCGAGAAACGTCGAGAGCTTCTAAAGTCGGGGGGGATAAAAAGTCAAGGTGATCATTTCAATCTCTCGACGAGAGAAGCGCGCACAGTGAAATCAAGGTCAACCTCCGCACAGAACAAAGAAACGACGACGACGACGACGACGACGACACCGGATGACGATGTACACATCGTCGTCGTCGTCGTCGTCGTCGTCGTCGTCGTCGTCACCAGACGTTCCGTCCGAAACGTCTCTCTCGGAAATTTTTTCACAGACGCGACAGAGATTCATTATTTTTAGAGCATCGCGCGCGCGTCTTGAAACCTTGGACTTGAACGCGCGCGTCTCGAGACGCGCTAACTTCTCTCTGCGTTTGTAAGTACCTATACAACACTGCTGCGGGACCAGCTGCAGCAACGAAGGCGTCATGCCTCGAATTACCGTTGCGGAGGCGCAGACCGACGCTTCGCGTCCGAGTCTCTGCGAGTAAACAGATCGCGGATCGACTTGAGGAATACAACTGAGAGAGAGTTTTCCGAGAGATCGTATGTTCAGCGATAACATCTCCTCGAGAAGCGCTAATGTAAACACCGAGCAATAATAGAAACTTTGTAAATGTTTGTGATTCCCGAGCGCCGTTTTGGAACTTATCAAAATAATTTCTCACGTATTGCGTATGTGTGTGTCGTAATCGTTGAAAATGTAATAAACTCAACTATTTGGTCGTGTGTTTACGCCCACGCAAAGATGCTGGACGCGCGTTACGAAGAAATAGATCGGGGGAATCGTTAATATCTCCCTTACCAGTTTTGAAACCAGATATCTTTCTCTCTCTCTTTCTTTCTCACTCTCTCGAATCGCGTCTTCCTTTCTGACATCAATACTTGACGTAAAACATAACCAGTCGCTCTCAAGTGATGTTTATCCTTCTCTTATACGTCCCTTTGCTCAATCAATCCCTTCGCGTCGTATTATCAAAGACAACGCGAAGATTGAACATTGCTCTCGTTCCAATTCGTCGAAACATTTATACGCGATCGTAAAAGAGAAAGAGAATTTATTTGTTTCTTTCTCGTTGAACAATTTAATTCTGTTAATTCAAGGTTTGTTACACGCCAAAATGACCAGAAAATGTTTTGTTTAAGCCGAGAGATTCAACGAATCGTCATTATTTGTGTCATTTAAACGCGTCAATTGAGCGAGCGCTTAGCCCGCGTATTAATTTTTCCCGCCTCTTCTCCGAATCTCTTAATTTTCAGCGTAAAACCGACCGATTATTCGCGTCATCTCGTGCTGCTCGTATATACGTGCGCGAGATGCGCTTGTACTCGAACGCGCTGCTATATTTGGATCTCGAATGCTTTCAAGTGGAGTCGCGTGGCGTCCGCACCGCTTGAGCGCAACGCGCGCGCACGTTTCGCGCGTGCACACACACACACACACACACGTGATCGCGATGGCCCCTCTTCTTGTTTTCCCGACGTGCGTTATCAACAAATGTTGTATCCATCGCGATCCCATAAATCCTGCTACGTGACTGATTCATTTGTATGGAACGCGTCTGTTACGTTGCTTGCATTCCCGGCGTTAATCTCGGATAATTATTCCCGCGCGAGACTTCTGTATTTTTATTCTGTATTAGTTTTCAAAGCACAAGAGCGAATGACGAGGGGGAAATAATAATCGCCGAGTGTGACGTAATCGCGGAAGTACCTTCGCATGCGAAGAAAAAGAAAAAAAGAACATCGATGAGAACCTCGCTCGAGTGGTCGAAGAGTAGTGAAACCGAAGAGGTGGAACGTGAATTTCCTTTTGATTAAAGGGCGCGCGGCACAACGCCTGAGTGCCTCCGGGGTTCAAGTACGCGTATTTCCCTTCGTTGTGTGTCGTCCGGATTCCGCGCCTAAAAATTCTATAAATAAATTTCACGCTACGCGCGGATATTCGCAAGGTCGCCGCACCGTGACATGATACGCGCCCTTCCAGAGGATGCGGCTTTAATAAGCGACTCGGGATAGCGGTCTTTATATATCGCACTGAAAGACTGTCGGGTCGACGACAAAATGTAAAATTTACGGTTCAAATATATGCAAAAGTTAGGTAGTTCGCAAGTTCCATTGTTTGTTTAGACGGTTGTTTGTTTGAGTTACACTTTGCCGAAGGAATAACTTCGGAATGTTTCAGAGAAACGTTGAAGTTTTCAGCACTTCGAAGACACTTCGGTGTGTACGAGCAAAAAAAGTTGGCGAACAATTGGCAAAGTTGTTACGGAAACTCCGACTCTGAGAAGTTAAGCCGATAAGAGGAGCGGGCTTCAATCCGATCCGCGAAGGAGCGAATTGGAGATTTTCTTAATGCATCACACACCGAGAGAGGGGATTATAAAAAATTCAAATGAATCTGAACGTCAGTTTAAACCTAGTTGAAGAGATCGCGTGAGAGCGAACGTTGTGACACAAGGAGCACAAATTTTTTGTACGAGAAGCAGACAGGGAAGCTCCCGAGTATACTACACCTCCGGAATACTATTTCCGGCTGCCAGGACGAGCGAACACGCGGTCTTACACACGCGATGAATGTGTCATCGTCATTGCTTTCCTGACTGCAGCCGAGCACTCATGATATTTGTTTATTTATTCGCCCGAGCGTCGTGACGACCACCGCCGGGACTGTTGCGCGTAAATCTTTTCGAAATGGGGTTTCGAGATTTAAATCACCTCGCGCTCCCAGCTTCTCTCAATCTCGAAAGTTTACTCGGGCGAGAAAATCGTCATGTTGAAGCTACATACATATATCTCTTTCAACACGTCGAACGCCACTTGTGATTTTTTCTCATCTAATTAAAACAAATTTCGTGAACAACCGGCAGGATTATTTAGCAGCAACAATTTAACACAAAACTGTGTGATCGAAGCCGTAAGAAACACATCCGATCTTCGCTTATAGGCGTTCAACGCGCAAACCGTTAGACGGGATTGCGAGCTTAATTTCATATAATTGTTCGATGCATCGAAACAAATTAAAAATCAAAGTCTGCGGCACGCGGTTTCCGGAATAAAGAAATTAAATTATTACGCAAAATTTGTTAAGCGAGACGTGGATTTACATACAATGCCGAGCACCTCGACACTCTCTCGACGCGCCGAGGAAGTATATATCCTTCGGCACGACATATAACGGATAGTCGTCGTACCGTTGATGCGCTGCACACGAAGGGCGTTCTTTTGTACAGACTTCAACCATACATGAGAGGAATAATTTACTGCCATTTCTAGGAAATTGAATTCACTTCGAGACGGCGATGTGAATTATTTCTGCGTGAACGAGCGCATCATTGCGCAGCACGCCATCTCTCTCTCTCTCTCTCTCTTTCTCATTCTTTATTAACAAGCGCTATTTTTATCCAGTTAGCAACTGTCGCAGCATGACAGTGAAATTCCGTAATTCCAATCGGAATTTCTCCGCTTTATTTCAAACAGACCCGGAGAGTCCCTTCTGTAGGTTCAACGTCGCGGGTCCAACGAGTGTTAAATACGTCTCTAATTAGCGTTGCGCGCATTTACAGTCCGCATCTGTCCGAGGTTTATCAGCCGAACGCGAAGCAACCGCTAAGAGAAGAAGCAGATCCACGTCCAAGTGTTAAACGGGCGCGCACGCGAAAAAAAAAAGCGTATCCCATGTAATTTACTTTTTTTTTTTTTCGTTCGATTCGTTCTCTCGCTCGTGTCACACACAGGTGGCACACCGGAAGTGAGGGTGACCACCGCGGAGGAAAGCCTCAATTTTCCGGTCTGTCGAATTCACCGGTTCGTGAACGAGGGCGCGAGGTCGAACACTCGCAAACCGGTATAACGGGATCCTCTCGAGATACTTTGCGGAGAAGAAGAATACAAAGTTGCCGTCCGCGCGCGTGTTGTTCTATCGATGCTGCGCGTGGTGCGCCAAGAATTCACGCGATCTGATTTTGACCCTCTTTATCTGACATCGTCGCGCGTTGTTTGCGTTGTTTTATTTTTCGCGACGTGTATTGAATTTAAATAAAAATTTATAATCTTCGCAAAAATGTTCCTCGAACAAAAAAAAAACAGTAGAAAAAAAATGCGATAAGGCGGCGTGAACGTAGCCGAAACGCGCGAAATAAACGAGCGGTCGTACGGTTAAATGGATGATCGACGAACCTCCCTGCGTTCATACCTCGCGCAAAAGAGGGGCATCCCCTTTCCCTCCCCCCAAGACGTCGTTATCGCGCGGCTCTTTTCGACTTTCGTAATCCTTCCGGCGCCAAGTCGTTCTACTAAACCGGCTACATTATCAGGACCTTTGATCTTTCTCGTGCAAAATCACTCTCCTGCGCCTTTTCGAGAATGTCGCACTCCGTCAAATTATTCGCAATAGAACGAGCTTTTCTCACGTAATCTACAAAGATAAATATGTTTATCTTGTGTGGTATAGATATAAAAATAGTTGAAAATGGAGATCAATAACGGGGGGTGTCGATCAATGTATTTCTTGTAAATATATTTCTCTTCTTCTCTTAGAAAAAAGAACAAGAGAAGAAGCTCAATAGAGTGCTAAAT